ACGTTTTAAGAAAGTTTACAGATTTGTGTTGGGCCGTCTTCAAAGCCGTCCTGGGCTGCATGTGGCCGACAGACCTCGCATTGAACAAGCTTGATCTAGACCTTATCTTAGTTTAACTACAACTGCAAAAACCTTATTTCCAAATAAGGTTACATTCCGAGGTTTCAGGAGGGACATGAATTTTGGGGAGGACACCCTTCAACTCAGTGTACTTGGGAATCACTTGGTGGCAAAGGCTTGGCTCACAGGTATGAGCCAAGCCTGAAGGCCGAGAGCGGCTGTGGCTTCCCAGCCTGGTGATGGGAGGACCTGGATCCCCACGGGGTCTCCTGTACTGTCTGGGGCTGTTGAACTTGGCTGCCTGCACCAATGCATTCAGGGACTGTCTGTAAGAACTGCATGCCATCAGCCCAGGTCTGTTACAAGAGGGGCTCCCAGCTGTCAGCCCAGGACTGGCTCAGTGCAGGACTGCAGACTGGAGTGCATCACACGGAAGGTGAGGTGACACCGTGCCTCTGGTGCCTGGGCGAGAGCCTTGCACCTTCCTCCCGGGCTCTGCTTCTTAGTAGAGCAGGTCTGGCTGCTGAGGAAGGGCCCGTCTGGGTCCAGCACGTGGGACTGTGGGTGAGGAGGCGCTCCTGTCCACGGTGGTCAGCTGAGTTATTTCTGGCCATCGGTCCACACCTTTCTGGGAACCCTTCCTGTCCCTTGCACGTGGGGCTGATGCAACGGTCCCAACCCCACAGACGCTCTGGGTTTAGAGTGACTCCTTCTCAAGACGAGTGGTTGAAACATCACCAAGTGCTCCTTGAGCTGCGCAAGGGAACCCTGGAGCCCATGCCCCCTCCCAAGCCCACTGGGCCGCTCTGTGTTCTCACCTTCCTGTTCCACAGTTGGTGGTGGGATTTGCGCTGCTCCTGGTCCCCCACCCCCATTTGTCCTCAATGGACTGTGGGTCAAGACACCCTGGAAGGCAGGGTGGGCCTCCCGTGCCATCCTCTGTTCCTGTACAGAGGTCACTGCGTTTGCCTCCCCAAAGCACCGACATTCAGGTCGTGATGACTCAGGAAGGGTCTGCGAGCCTCTCTCGGGGAGGCAGGAGGAAGTTCTGTGCAGAGGGAGGGGCGGCACCCGCGGCAGCTGCAGACCGAGAGACAGCTGGGCAGCAGGGTACTCCTGGGAGGCGTGCGGCCCGGGGCCACCCAGGGGTGCTGATTAGCACGACTCCTACCTGCTTCCTCCATCGGACTGTCTGCTGCGTGAGTAACTGAGTGACAATACCAGAAAACCGAGCAGTGATGCAGATCCTATAACCTGCACGTGCCACATCAACTCCTGTGGGGCGGTGAGTTAGTAGTACAAAGCAGTCTGTGTTATGGCCTTACCTGCCCCTCTGCACTTTGGGAGGCTGAGGCGGGCGAATCACTTGAGGTTAGGAGTTCGAGACCAGCCTGGCCAACATGGTGAAACCCCGGTCCTACTAAAAATACGAAACTTAGCCAGGCGTGCTGGCGTGCGCCTATAATCCCAGCACTTTGGAAGGCCAAGACCGACGGGTCACCTGAAGTCAGGAGTTCGAGACCAGCTTGGCCAACATGGTGAAACCCTGTATCTACTAAAAATACAAAATTTAGCCAAGTGTAGTGGCATGCACCTGTAATCCCAGCTACTCGGGAGGCTGAGGCAAGAGGATCTCTTGAGGCTGGGAGGTGTAGGTTGTAATGAGCTGAGGTCGCACCACTGTACTCCCGCCTGGGTGACAGGAGTGAAACCCTGCCTCAAAATAAAATAAAAAAATAAAAATAAAAAATAAAATAAAATAAAATAAAACAAAATGTGCTGACCTTCACGCCTCCCATCTGGTGAACTTGTACTCATCCCTCAAGACCTAGTCAGATTTCAGCCCACTCTGCCAGCTCTAATCATACTGCACCGCAATTCATGCTTGAAGGCTTGTTCCTCCTCGCCAGCCTATGAGCTCTGAGGGCAGGGGCTCTGCCTGATGTTCTGGGGCTCCCGCATCTGGCAGGCCGAGTGCCTGACCTGGGACCCAGGCTCAGCTTGTGCTCCTTCCATGCATGTGACAATGACCATGTGTCCGGGAGGTGAAAGGTTGCAGCCCCGGCATGGGGGACCAGACTGTCTTCTTCTTGAGCCCATCCAGGAGCCCCTGCCCTTCCCTCAGACACCAGTGCACAAAGCCCAGGGCTGGAGGGATTTGCAGGGCTCTCAGGACGGCCCACACCACACACGGCTGAAGAGGCTGCTGCAGGGATGCGGGATGCAGCTCCCAAGAAGGAAGGGGAGAGTCCTGCTCACCCCCAGGTCTTGGGCTGTCCAGGGCAGCCACCTGTCTGGGTGGGGCCCGACGCCCAGTGCCCCACGGCCTACAGCTCTGACAATAGCTCTGCTTTATCTCTGGAACTTGAACTTCCCCAGGGGAACAGGGAGGCTGGGGAAGGTGACCGGAATGCAGGCTCTGGAAGGCAGGGTGGGCTCTCCCGTGCCATCCTCTGTTCTTGTACAGAGCCCAGGGCTCCTGGGGAGGGGCCTCCTAGAACAGAGAGAGGGGACACACACGGGCCTCTGTATCCCCCTCTCCAGAGGCCCAGCCAAAATTCCCCGTCTCTGAGAAACCTGTGCATCTCCACTTGCCAGGACCCAGCTCTGGCCCCCTCGCCATAGCCGTTGCTCCTACCAGGAATTCGCTCCTCTGACGTCGTGGCTGATCCAGCACACCCGGCAGGCGGTCAGTGTGTGTCCCAAGCACCTGGCTGGGCTGTGCAGCACCACTTCATGCTGTCCTGTGGGGTGAGCACCCTGCGACAGGTAGGGAAACTGAGGTATAGATGGGAAGTGGCTTGCCCGAGGTCAGGCAGTGCAGGACTTGGGACCCAGTCTCGGCTTCACCATCTTAACTCTGACGTGATCCCGTCTCCCTTTGCGGGGAAGACTTTTCGAGGACAAGAATGTGTCACCTTTGTTATTCCTTCCCGAGCCCTAAACCCTGGGTGTGGGCAGTAGGGGCTCAGTCAACATTTACAGAGTTAATCCAAAGCAAATCCCAGAACGGTTCTCGGTGCTGGCCGCAGAGAAGAATCACAGGCGGCAGAACCACCCTTTGGGGCAGGGCCCAGGCATTGATATTCTCCCCACTCCTGGCAATTTTGAGTGCAGCAGGTGGAGACCACAGCACCTGCCAGATCATGGCCCGGAGGGACAGCAGTCTGCTCCTGGGGTGTTTGCACCCTCCTGGAACTCAGCCCTGCACCACGACCTGGCCTGGCCTCTGGGTATTATGAGCAGTGGGAAGGCAGAGAGCTCTCACCAGATCCCCCAGGATTTCCCCTACAATGACCTTTATAATAACATGAAAATCCTGCTGTCCATGGATGAACCTGGGTTCACTGTCTCCCAGAAAAAGTGAGTGGCCTGACAACAAGGCAGACAATGCTCTTTCCTTCTTCCTCCTTCACTGGCCTCAGCAGGGGCGGCACACAAGAGGTGAGGGGCCCTCAAATCCATCCACAAAGGGCTTGCGGAACACAAGGCGGGGCCCGGGAGTCACACGGCGGGACACATCCTGGTGCCCAGCACATGCGCCTTCGGGCTCCCATGGGTCACTCAGGGAAGGGTAGTTTGTGGACGCACCCTTGGCAGTGCAGAGCTGCCCTGCACACACCACCAGGGACCCCAGTTGGAGGCTAAATCTGAGCGGCCAGGCGCTCCCATTTCTCGGGGTAATAAACCAAGTCCACCCTTCAGACAGAGGCTCCTGGAAGGGTCAGTGGGGGTCATCAAAATGCCTCCCTGGAAAAGAAACACGGAGAACACAAAATCTAGGAACCCGTTTTCCTGGAATGAGATTAGTCTCTTGCCCACAACCAGCCAGTGCACTGCAGGAGGTTAGGGGGTTAGGGGGTGCTGTGGATGCCAAGGGCGGAGGCTTAGGGTACTGGGTTAAATGGATCTGCGTTAAATACTGGCTATACCAGGGATACTGGAATAACCTCCGACAGGCACCAGAAATGTTGAGTCTTAGTTTCTTCCTCTGGAAAATGGATATAATCATCGCTGTCTCATCTGATATGTTGTTATAAAACAATTCTTCAGATGTAGTCTTTAGTTTCTAAAAGAGCACACCGGGCAAAGGTGGAGAGTCAGTTCCTGTTTGTGTTAAGAATGTGGCCGGGTGCAGTGGCTCACGCCTGTAACCCTGACACTTTGGGAGGCCAAGGAAGGCAGATCACTTCACTCCAGGAGTTTGAGACCAGCCTGGCCAACGTGGCGACAGCCGGTCTCTAAAAAAATACAAAAAATGAGCTGGACACATGCCTGTGGCCCAGCTACTTAGGAGGCTGAGGTGGGAGGATCACTTGAGCCCCGCGGGGGCGGGGGTCTCAGTGAGTTGAGATTGCACCACTGCACTCCAGCCTGGGTAACAGAGCAAGACCCTGTCTCCCCCCGCACCCCCCTCAAAAAAAGTGCTTAGATCCAGAGAGAAAATCTCTGGAAGGATACCTAAGAAAGTTCACAATAGATGCCTCTGAATAGGAGAGGCTGTTTTGTATTATTTGATTTTAAAAATCAATTACGTGTGCCATGTTTTTATTAACATATTTTCAATCAATTCATTTCATCCACTTATTAAAATGTAGTTAATAATTTTAGGAGAAAAAAGAAAGACGAGAAATCTCTGTGTTTCAGGAGTTGTGAGAGAGCTGTAGGGTCCTGACTCACTCAGAGTGCCGTCTCCAAGGCTGATCTGGGATGGAGCAGGCTGGGGCTCTCTTGTCGTGGGACCAGGGGTGTTCTGAGGGCTCCTGGCTGGGAGGCTGAGATGGACACCGTGCGCTGGTTCTGCAGCCCCACGTGGCTCCCACACCCTGCACCAGGCCAGGCTAGGAGGGTGATTAACACACATCTGCTCCCCAGCAGAGGACCCGTAACCAGAACTGGAATCCGCCCTCACCGCTTGCTGCCAAAACAGTGGAGGCTGAACTGACCTCTCCCCTTTGAGAGAGAAGAACTGTCTGGGAGCTTGACAAAGGCATGCGGGAGAGTCCGGGAGCAGCCAGAGCCAGGAGGGAGAGCCCTCCCCAAGCAAACAATCCAGAGCGGCTGTGCAAACACCGGGGCATAAATGAGGCCTCCTGGACCATGAAGTGTGTCCTGAGCTGCATCCCGGAGCCCACGGTAGTCATGGCGGCCAGAGCTCTATGTGTGCTGGGGCTGGTCCTGGCCTTGGTGTCCTCCAGCTCTGCTGAGTACGTGGGCCTGTGTGAGTACCGCTCTGACTGCCCCGGTAGCAGGGTGGGCGGGAAGGAGAGGGATCCAGGATAAGGGGGGATTCTGCATTCATGTAATAATGGCCACCTGTCACATATACACTTTTTCCTGCGCTATCCTATGAAGTGGGTGTTTATTGTCCCCATTTCACAGACAAGGAAACCAAGGCTCAGAGAAAGTTAACAACTTATCTAAGGCAGCTCTGCCCAGTCTGTTGAAATCAGGCTTTGAGCCTGAGCCCATCCCCTATGACCCCGTAGCCATCTTTGCCGGAGATTTCTAAATTACAGTATAGGTCTTTATGCATTGTTTTCACATTTACAAAGAAAAAGGAAAGATGCGGGAGAAAAACCCTGACTTCAGAATACTTTCAATACCTACCGGCACAAGGTTCATTTAGCCATTGCATAGCAACCCTGCGGCGGGGGCGTGGCTGCTCCATTAACCCAAGTTTGAAGGAATGAGGGTACGGCTTTTATCCGGGTGTCTTCTGAGCAGGGTCAAAGGCAGGGGTTCCTGAACTCACAGCCCATTAGAATCACCTGGAGAGCTTTAAAAATCCTAATGCCTGGGGCACACCAGTTACCTCAGGGCATCTGCGGGTGAGCGCCAGGCCTCAGTTGTTTTCTTTCGAGACAGCCTCGCTTTGTTACTCAGGCTGGAGTGCAGTGGCACAATCTCAGCTCACTGCAACCTCCACCTCCCAGGTTCAAGCAATTCTTATTCCTCGGCTTCAAGCAACTGGCATTACAGGCGTGCACCACCAGGCCCAGCTAATTTTTTGTATCTTTAGTAGAGACGGAGTTTCGCTATGTTGGCCAAGCTGGTCTTAAACTCCTGGCCTCAAGTGATCCTCCTGCCTTGACCTCCCAAAGCGCTGGAATTAGAGGCATAAGCCACCATGCCCAGCCAACGTCAGTCATTTCTAAAGCTCTGCAGCTGATTCCAGTGTGAGTGAAATTTGGACGCGGTGAGGATAAGCAATTACACACTGGGAGCAATAGAAGGGAATTTAAGAGACCACATGATTTCTATTTTCCTAAGGAAATACCCAGTTCATTAATGAAACGAGGTGAACTTCTGCTGCACACACAGACATAGAGGCTTGCCTGAAAAATGAAAATATTGGGGACTGAAGGATGTCCAGGGAGGGTGGGACATGCTCAACAATTCGGGGAAGGGAGATGCAGAAAAAAATGAAAAGCAGGCAGCATGCGTTGCAACGATCTCTATGGCATGTGTGTCTCCCATCGCGTTTTTCATTTAAAACAAAGGGGCAAGGTTTTGTTGGTCAAACAGTGAAGGGGAACTTTGTTTCCGAGTTCAGGGGACCCTGGATTCCCCAGGGGTTCCTGCCAGCTGGAAGGGACCCAGGTCCGTATGTGACTTCCTGAGAAGGTGATAAGAGCGTGCCAAGGAGACAGACACTTAGGCAAATGGCCCGAGTCCCCAAGTTTAGCATTTAACAGACTGCTTCTCTTTAAATATTCACAGGGAAAGCCCATCTTCCTAAAGGCAAGGGTTTCAGCTGTGGTTGAACTCAGGAGGTGGGAGCGGTAGGATGCAAATTTGCACAAGGAAAGCCCGTCCTCCTAGGAGTGAGGGTTTCAGCAGTGGTTGAACTCAGGAGGGGGCAGCAGGAGGATGCAAATATTCACAGGGAAAGCCCATCTTCATTGGAATGAGGGTTTCAGCAGTGGTTGAACTCGAGGTGGGAGCAGGAGGATGCAAGCTTGCAAAGTGAAGCAAACATACTCACCGCAGCCCAGTAAGGGCTCTGGCAGCTGACAGGGCTTTGTTTGGGACAGCTGCAAACCAGTGTGCCGTGCCGGCCAAGGACAGGGTGGACTGCGGCTACCCCCAGGTCACCCCCGAGCAGTGCAACAACCGGGGCTGCTGCTTTGACTCCAGCATCGTTGGAGTGCCTTGGTGCTTCAAACCCCTGCAGGAACAAGGAGGTAAGGCCTGAGTGACAGCATCATGGTCTGGGCCTGGCCCCATAAGGCCGGGGGTCTCAGGGCCTCCCTGTCCTTTCTGGGCTGGAGATGGAGGCACGAGGTCCCCGGGAAGCCACACACCTGCACCAAGGCCTCAGAGCAGAGGCTTCAAGCCCAGGGCAGCCATGGCCAGGGGCTGTCCTCTTTTGTCTCCTTTGTGTAAAACATAAAAGCAATCATTTCAAAAAGGTGTTCAAAATGATGGCGTTATGTAGAGGAAACTAATTTAATAACTATTCTTGAGAGAAGTGGAAACACATAGGTGTGGAAAGCCAGGCTGACTTTCAGGTTGTTTTTGCAAACCGGTCCCCCACCAGAGTCTTGTCATTTGTGGCATCCCCTCCACAGATGGCAGGCAGTGCCAGCCCTGGGTGTTGGGCCTCGGTGCCACACCCCACTTCCCCCACTCTGCCCCCCACAAGGGCCATCTCCTCTCTCTCTGCCATGGTGGAGGGCAGGTGCAGGGCAACCACCCTGGGGGTTCCCTCCCCAAAGGCGGAGAGCCTGCGTGCTGTACAGGTAACAGATGGCCCTGCACACGGGTTTGCCGCCCTGGCTCCACCAGGCTCAGCTGCCCCACGTCATGGGTGGGGCGATCGGCTATTAGCCATCTGCCGTGTCCAAGTGCCAGCTCAGCCCCCACGAAGGCCGCACCTGCGTGAGGTACCTTCCTGGAACCAGCATCCAGAGGGGCCTCTCTTGCCCTTTGTCCCAGGGTGAAACACGGGAGGCTGAGTCCTGCTGGCACTGGCTGCCTGATCAATGATAGACCCCTGCCCTGCCCAGGGCCTCCCTCCACCCTCCCCAGCAAGTCCAGGGTGGGGGTGGGGGTCCAGAGAAGGCCAGGAGAGAGAGGGGTCTGTCGACTGTCCACTGCCGCTCCTGTTCCTTCGGCTCCTCATCCTGGAACTACACTCTCCTCTCTGAGTGCCAGCCACGGCCCTGCCAAGGCCCATCTCACTTGTTATCTGCCTGGCCCCTGGGTCCCACTATCTCGCTTAGCAACCCGAGGTGGGAATCTTGGCTATTCCCCCATGTGGTGGGGACTCAACACTCCCCGGTGACTCAGGGGAGGAGGCAGCACTAGGCACTGTCCTCGGAACCTGCCTTGACCTTGGGAAGCTGGGCAGCGTGGGTGGAGAGAGACTGCTCACACAGGCCTTTGCTCTGTTTGCAGAATGCTCGTTCTGAGGCACCTCCAGCTGCCCCCGGCCAGGGGATGCGAAGCTCCGAGCACCCTTTCCCGGTCATGATTGTTGCTGGGCGCTGTTCATCCCAGCTTTTCTGTCCATTTGCTCCTGGCAAGCGCTTCTGCTGAAAGTTCATGTCTGGAGCCTGATGTCTTAACGAATAAAGGTCCCATGATCCGCCCGAGGACAGTTCTTGGTGCCTGAGACTTTCCGCGGTTGTGCTTTATTTCTGCTGCGTCGTGGGAGATGGTGGGAGGGTGTCAGGAGAGGGTCTGCCCAGGCCTCAAGGGCAGGAACAGACTCCCTAAGGAGACACAGTGCATGCAAGGATATTCTGAATCCCAGACTGGCACCCACGTCACAGGAAAGCCTAGGAACACGTAGTGCCGCTTCCTCGGGAAAGCAGAAAAAATACATTTCAAGTAGAAGTTTTCAAAAATCACAAATGTCTTTCTTGGTGAAGACAGCAAGCCAATAAAATGATCTTCCAAAGTGGTCCTCTACTTCACACCCACTCTTGCTGCTGTTCGATACTCATACTGGTCCTGGGTTCTTGTTTCTTTGTCCAGTAAATTAAACTGGCACTGTTTTGTATTTGTTTCCTAATTAAGTTTAAACATCTGTGACACATTGGATGGCCTTCTTTTTTCTTTTTTTTAAAAAATGGATGCAGCTATAGGAATGAATGAGCTGGTGGCAGTGGGGATTCCATCTCATGTCCTCATGAAACCTTATCCACCTCTGGACCTGAGTGTGGTTCTCTCCCCACCGCACTTACCTGGGACATGGCAGCTCTCCACTCCCACCAAGACAGTTTTGGATACACAAAGGCCCGTGAGTGCTGCTGGCTGGGCCTCCTGTGCTGCTCCCACTGCTGGGGCTCTCTTAGGGGCCAGATCCACAATTCCACTGCAGTGCGGTCACAGCGGTGGGGTTCTTGTTCTGAGCTATTTCTTCCCATTCGAAAAGAGACAACTGCTCCTTTAAAACAGTAGCCTTTGTTTTTCGGCTTGCACTTGGGGCCTGGTCCCTAGAGCTCACAACATCCCAAGAAGTGAGGTAGTACTGCCCTTGTCTTACAGATATGGAAAGAGATTTTCTTGAAGTAGCTTGTCCAAAAGTCCCTACGGAGAGGGGACACTGTCAGGATATACTGGTCTCTGAATCTGAAGCCCTGGGTGTCCCTTCCAACACCCCGAAGCATCAGCTGCCCTCCCTGGAGAGAAACTTCCAGGACTATCCCAGACCTCGGAACACACACCAAGCGTGGCCTCCCTGCTCCGGGGCTCTGCTACTGAGAGCTGCTCTGGCCTGGACGTCCTTCTGGGCGGGGCTCTGCATCCCTCTCCCTCACAGACCATGCCCGGTCTTTGAGGGCTAGAGGGGATGGAAAGGCTGGCCCCAGGCCCCCTGGCCTCAGCCTCAGGCCACCTTGCTGCTGGCTGGATGACCAGCTCCATTTTCCTCCTACCCTGCCTGGTGCCCTCTCCCCAGGGACAGGGCTCTGCTGCCTCCTTGCCCGGGACCTCACTCATGGGCACCACCCACCTGCATTTCCAAAGAATTTCTTGACTTGCCCCACCTCTCCGTTCCCGGCATTGCCTTCTGCAGTCAACACCTCCCACACGGCCGTACCCCCTCCCAGACTCCTTCCTGCTGTGCCCCTGAGAGGGAGGGTTCCCCAAAATCTGAGCCAGGTGGGACCCTTCCTTCACCCACCACAGAGCTGCTCCCTGTCTCCAGCCCGAGCCTGTGCCCTCCTCAGACAGGACAATGTTTCATGCACATTCTAGACGCTTCACCATTGACTCCTGCTGTCCTTGTGGGGGGGATCAAGGTCGCTTCCATCAAGTGAAACAGCATCAGATGGAGAGATCTGCTGGCAGGACAGAGAACCCCCATAATTCAGCTGTGCAGGGCAGGCTCCAGTGAGGAAAGGAAAGGGGCTGAGGAGGGCTGGGGTCCTGGAATGAGCTGGACTGGACCCCCGTCCTTCTCCGTCTCCGGGGTCCTGCCTCCGTCTGTCTCTGCCTCTCCCTCGCTTCAGCTTCGGTTGCTATGGGGACCTTGGAAGCTCCCTGCCTTCCTCGGGGGCCCCAGGCAGGGTCTGGGGGCTCTCAGAACCCTGGGTGGGGTTTGTGCCATGAGAAAGAGCGCACCGCCCCTGACAGCACCCACCTGGGGGCTGTGACATTCTCATAAGAGATCACAGACACCAATGAGGGAGCGAGACCCAAAGCAGCCCACCCGCCCCCCAGCCCAAAGGCAGAACGGAAACCTGGTCCAAACACAAAGTGACTAAACAGCGCCCACTGCTGACCGCTGGAGTCACTGCGGCTCGCCACCAGTCACAGCTGTGCCCTGCCACTTCCAGATACAAATTAAGATACCCAGCCCCAGAATTACCCTGGGCTTCCTGTTGATGAGGAGGATCTGGGCCCCAGGACACATGATCGAAGCCGAGGGTTCCCAGTGGAGGCTGCTGCCACGGGCATGTTTCAGAATCTGTGGGCGTGTTCATGGATCATATGAACGGGGTGGGGGGAGGGGGGGGTTGAGGGAACACAGGCCAGACGTGGCAGGACCCTGTGATGTCCCCAGGTGTCCTGAACAGACCACTGCCTCCACCCGATGGACGTCCTAGCGTCCTGTTGGACACTCATGGTGGCTGCAAACCTATTCATGACGATTGAAGCCCAGAGACTACTTCTGTGTTACATCTTAACACGGTTGTTTTGGTTGTTGGTTGTTGTTTCAAATGGCTTGAACATACCTGAATTTTCCAGGAGTGTATGTCATGTAAATCAAGAAAAGACTGCGTTTGTTTGGTTTGCAGCATTAGCCGAGTCGTTCATTTCAAGCATGTCAGTGCTGGGGCTGCCTGTGTTCGTGGGTGGCCCATCCAGGGGAATTCAAGCCCTGGTCTCCTTCACCCTGTCCTCTGGTGTGGACATGGGGAGCACGATGCACTGAACAGGAGTGTACTGAACATTACTCTCCTTTTATTTCTTATATTTTCATAGGGCCTCATGCATATTTAATTTCCATCACTGGCCATCAGTTGACCACAGCTGTCCAGAGCCCTAGTGGCTCAGTGCCACCTGCTGGGCCTTCCCACCTCCTGGTCTGGGCACATCTGAAACCGACATCTGTCAGCGGCTCAGGGTGAATTCAAATAATGAATTGTGACCCATAGGACCCAGGAACCATTTTTATGTCAAATACCTTCATCACTGACTTGGAAATGGTCCATGTTTCCAGAACCTTCCAGAATGAACACTTTGATTGCCAGAAGAAGCCAGAACAGGACTGGGCTCCTTTGCTGCTGGCGTGTGCTGCTGGTGGAAAGGGGAGAGAAAAACTGGACTTCTGCCCACACTGCAGCCATTACACCCCATGATGGTTTTCCGTGGCATACGCACACCTTCCCCCTCCTCTTGAGTTGGTGGTGAAGGGTGTGGCTGTGGCACTTTTCCACAGTTCCTCCGGAGTCTGCTGGAAAGTTCTACATTGTTCCATAATACATTGGATATTCACTTGTATTTATCACTGTATTCCAAGGATTCCTAAATTTCCAATGGTGAGGATTTTGGCTTCAAGCGGAGACACCCATGCAAGCTTCCATAAGCAGCAGACCTACTGGGGAACCCCTTAGGGAGGAAGAACAGGCTGAGAAGTTGCAGGCCTTGATGTGGGTCTGATGCCTCTGAACTGAGTGGGGGAAGGACTGGGGAGGAAGAGCCTCCAGCAGGCTGATGGGGAGTCCCCAAAGTAGAGTGCCCCTCAAGGGACCCTGTGTCTGGTGGGAATGCCCTGGTTGGGAGCAGCCCCAGGGAAGTTGGCCTGGCGTGGATGCCATGCCGGACGCGGGGCTCTCGGTGACCTGGGTCCCTGCAGCAGGTCCTCTCTGAGGGACAGCTGAGTGGTAGGCGCATCTCCAGGCGGCCAAGAAGCCTGCCTGCTCACTAAGTTTTTGCTCTGAGGCCCTGCAGTACCCTGGGCTGTGACACAGCTGTGGAGGTTGGAAATTCTCCCCTCAGTCCTCCTTCGTGGGGGCTCGAGAGGCACGTCATGTATTGGAAAGAGTTAGAGACCCCCGGGGCCTCAAAGTTCCTATCAGCAAAATGGGACAATTGCAATGGCTGTATCGGAGGGTTGCCGATGGCTGCGGAAGGAAGGTGTAGGCTGAGAAAGCTCATTCCTGTGTGAGCTCAGAGCCGCACTACTTGGTTGGCCATTGTTTTCTAGTGCATTTAGAGTTCATGCTCCCTTTCTTCCTTAGGTTCTATTATTTTGTTTTCAGCAACACTGAAGTGTGTTTTATGCTAAGCGAAAGAAGCCGATCACAAAAAGCCACATGTTGTGTGATTCCATTTATATGAAACGTGCAGAAGAGGGAAACCCACAGACACAGACAGTGTTTCATCGTTGCTGGGTAGGGGTAGGGATGGGGAGTGGCGGCTCACAGGGAAGGGGTTTCCTTTTGGGGTGATGGAAACGATCTGGAGTGGCATATGGTACTGGCTGCACAATTTTGTGCAATATTAGATACTAAAAACAACCAAATCATACACTTTACTAAAACCCACTGAGATGTGTCCTTTACAAAAGTCAATTCTGTGGCAAGCGAATAATATCTTGATTAAGCGCACATCTATACATGTGCTGATACCTCTGCTGATTTGCCCATTTAGACAAGGCCTGACTTTTTGCCCTGAGAATTGAGTTTATTTCCAAGGCCATACCGAGCACCTAGGTGTGGCTGGCACGTCTGATCTTCAATGGGTCCTGCCAGGTGGCTGCCAGGCGGCCTTGTTCCCTTCCAGGTGGCTCCCAGGCTCAAGGGTTCTCTCCACCATTCCAAGACCGCACTCAGGCACAGGAATCATTCACTGCTTCTCGCTGTGCAGCTGTCTTTGCCCCTGTTGGCCTGAGCACTGCAGCCTTTCCCTCTTGGGTTTTGTGGGGTGCAGCCGACTCCCTCTGCTCCCCCATCCCACCGACCTGTCTCCCTGGCCTCTGTCCTCCACAGGGGCAGGTGGGCAGGCCTCCTGGAGGAAGCCCCTGACACCCACATTCATTCATTCACTGCTCTGAGCCTCCCACCCTAGCCCCAGCCCTCACCAACCAGAGGAATTGTCTCAGTCCTGGGGTGTGGTGAGATCCCATTTCCCTCTGACACCTACTCTCAACTATGGCAATCTGGCTATTTACAGATGGGGACATTAGGGAAAATGAGGTCCCAGAGCTCCCAAGGTCACAGAACTTATAGGTTGCCTGGCTGTGGTCCCTGCTGTGACCATCCGGCCCCCTGGTTGTGGCTTCATTAGTATCTGCAGAGCAGAGCAGCAGGAAGCACAGACCGACAGCTGCTTGCACTGGGGAAAGGGCAGAGAAGGGAAATACAACAGCGGGGCGGGCGCGAGGGGATCTGTTGGTTCTTCAGGAAGAGTGCCCTGCCACAGGTTTGCCCGCGTCTGACTTCACCATCCCTCTGTAAAATGAAGTTGTTAACAAGTGGCACCCACTGCAATGCCAGCCACAGTGGTGGTGGGGGAAGATCGGCCCCCTCATGCGGGGGTGCAGTCAATTTGGCTGGCAACAGTACTGTGGCCTCCTTGTCCAAGAGGCTGCAGCCTTGGGAGGGTTCATGGCACCCCACGCACCTGACGTCCCCAAGAGTCATCTCTTTTTGTAAAACCCGGAGGCCCCAGGACTGGAGGAAGAATGTCGGTGCTGAGTGGGACGACCTGGGCACGGTGAGAGCGGGGGGTGCTCTGTGGGATTGCAGGCCCCACCATTTTTACATTTTGGATATCCTTCTGCTTGGGTTTCCAAAAAGGCTTCTACAGCTTGAATGGTGGGTTGTAAGGATATAAATAGAAGGATGTTTTCCAAATTTTCAGATTTACGAAGGCATGGCCTTTTGCAGAAATAATCTCAGGGTCCTTTGGAGGACTCTGGCTGCATAGATTCTGCAGCGCTCCGATAACCATGGGCCAGGCACTGTGTGGATTCTGGAGCGCTCCGGGTGTGGGGTGCTGCTCGCTGCATGGATTCTAGAGCGCTCTGAGGAGGCAATGCCTTGTGCTGCATGGATTCTGGAGCGCTCCGGGTGTGGGGTGCTGCTCCCTGCACAGGTTCTAGAGCACTCTGACTAAGGGGTACTGCACGCTTCATGGATTCTGGAGCCCTCCGATGAGGGAGTGCCGCGTGCTTCACGGAGTCTGGTGCGCTCTGGATGTGGGGTGATGCTCTCTGCATGGATTCTGGAGTGCTCCGATGACGGGGTGCCGCGAGGCTGCATGGATGCTGGAGCGCTCCGACAAGGGGATGCGGCACAGTCGATAAGGAGTGGGGAACAGTGCGCCTCTGGTCTGCAGTGTCTGCAGTGATTCCGAGCCAGGGAAGGAGAGCTGTATGGAGTGTGGGCAGTGCCCAGTCCTTTCCCAGCAGTGGAGGGGATGGGTCAACAAATTGTTATCCGGCAGGGTGGCTCACGCCTGTAATCCCTGCACTTTGAGAGGCTGAGGCAGGCGGATCACGAGGTCAGGAGTTCGAGACCAGCCTGGCCAATATAATGAAACCCTGTCTCTACTGAAAATACAAAAGTTAGCTGAGAATGGTGGCATGTGCCTGTGGTCCCAGCTACTCAGGACGCCGAGGCAGAAGAGTCTCTTGAACCCGGGAGGTGGAGGTTGTGGTAAGCCAAGATAACACCACTGCACTCCAGCCTGGGCAACAGAGCGAGACTCTGTCTCAAAAACAAAACAAAACAAAACAAAAACTATTATCTGGTTGTCAACTTGAGTGACCTCATGGGGTGGGTGGGGGCGAGGTTATTGTGCTTGGTGGATGGGTTTGGGGCATGGGATGGCATCTAGGGATGGAGAAACCAGGGCGGGAAGGAGGGGAGTGTGGGGGACCGTGAGTACAGAGGCAGCTGTTGTGTTCAGTGGATCACCATGCAGGTGGGAGGGCAGAGTCTCCATGCCAGGTCACCAGGCAGCGACTTTTCGCACTGTTCCTACCCACACATGTACACTTTCCTCCTTGCCTTCAAGTGGGGCCCAGTAGGGCCATGTCCCAGGTGATGGTCCCCGATGACACCTGGACTCAGGCCCCAACCCTGACTCACAGGGGCCTTGACAGCATATGGACCTCAAGGCTGAGCCCTGGAGATGCTGGCACATCATCTGGATCGATGTGTCTGGGAGGAGAAGTTTCCACTGGTCATGAGGGTCAGACCTGCCACATCACTTCCTGTACCATGTAGATCCTCCTGTGCAGTCTTAATTCCTAAATGCCTCTCCCTGAGGAAGGGAGAGCCATGGAGTGGCCAGGACCCCTGGCTCCCTAGCAGGATGGCCAGGGTCTCACTTCTGCGTGCCACTGTTCTTCATCTGTAACAGCGCAAACCTCTCACAGCCACCGACCAGCTCTGTGGCTTTGGGAAGTTGTGTAATCTCCCTGAGCCTTGGTGTTTTTAACCTGAAAAATGGGGCCAGTTGTGGCTCTCCAGCACTGATGATGACGGTTTGATGAGATTGCACATGGAAAGGTAGGGTACAGTGCCACTACGTGGTGCTCCATGGAATCTGGAGCTGCAGGCATCCTTACGGTCACTCTTATTTGTCTTCCTCACTGGAATCCATCATGACACTGAAGAGAGAACTGCTCCATTGAGAGCAAGGGCGCGTAGGGGGAAAATGCTAGATGCTCTACCAGAACCGACTCCCCCAGCAGGTCTGAGAGCTGGGGCTGTTGAAAGCAAAAGGAAAGAGAACCAGAAATCTGAAAATAATGATGCTTTATTTGACTGACATCACATCATCATAAATGGCATCTAATTTCAGAAAACAAAGTTTAAGTCTGCAAAAAACGCATGTACAAATCTCAGGAGATAGGTCTACAGAAATAGACACGTGGCTCTTTGGTCTGTAAGGTGGAGTCAGGAAACTGACATTCTAGGGTCTGTCCAGGTTCAATGTTCCAGTGGTGTGAAACAACCAAGGAAACAGACACCCCAAAGAGCCGATGTTATTTTTGAATATATATATATATATATGTATACACATGTACATATGTAAATATGTTGCCTTCATCTGTAACAGTGCAAACCTCTCACAGCGTGCAAAGCAACAGTGTTTCCTACAGTCAAGTAACTAAATCAGTGTAAAGTTATCCACACAGCATTATAAAAACATTATATAATTACATAGCAGATATACAGATATATGCAGGCGTTTGCACGCTGATTAGAGTTACTTGCATTGACTTTTGCTTTAGAAGAAAAAACAAAGGAAAATCTTTAAATAGTTCTTCATCAAATAAAAGGTAACAATTCGTAACAGATTCAACTATGAACAGGTATTGCATCAATATGTCTACAAAGGGAAAATATACATATATAAAAACAAAGGCAAAGGGGTCAGCTACACGTATTAACTTACCAAACATACATGTTCTATTGAAAAACTGATCCCCATTCACACCCTGCAGGTGGGAGGACAAGACTATAAAAATGGGAAGCCCCCAATGTGTGGGTGTGGTGGTCTATTTTATTATCAATTTGGATGATAGGAGGTTTTGCTACTGTTTTTAGTTGGCCAATGACATAATAGTGAGATATTGATTATTAAGCTTGGGAAGCTGGTAGGTCACGGAAAAGAGACTCCAAGATGCACAGTGACAGACATGTAAAAATGCAAAGGTATAAAAATGAAATCGCTGCCATGGTTACTATTACATTTTCAGACAAACCAAATTGTGTTACCACTCAGATTAGGTGGCACTCAGGGATCGCCAGGAGTCCATGAATATGGGGCTGTCAACCCTAAACCCACGTACTTCTTAACTTCCTAGCCTTCCCTTTCAAGGCCAGATGCATTTCAACCCACAGGAGGGGGCACATTAGGGCCCCCTAAGAGGGGAGATTTTTTGGGTAACTTCCCCAGAAACGGACACGTCTGCTTCTGCCTCAGCTGCAGCACTCTCATTGGGCAAACTGTTTTCTAGAGGCTCGTAGGCAAGTGCAGTGAGCAGTGAGGAGACAGCTTAATTCTGAGTGCCGGCACTCAGAGCTTCAGAAGCCTCCTTAAAGGGAGATTTGTCTGGGGGACTAGAGGACTGGCTCCCCACACAGGCCACCAGGGAGGGTCCTGCCTCACTGCACGGGGGCTCGCCAGCTAGGCCTCAGCATCTCTGCCCCACTCACCGGCCCTCAAGGTAATGGACCACATGAGTCAGAGGTAACAGTAGGTGGCTTACACGTTTCCAGAGATCAGATCTCGGAACCTTAAGGACCGTAAAATAAAAAGCATTTCTTACCGTGTGCAGTGTCAGGGCCATGTTTAAAGTCATGTGCAAAGTTTAGGCCAAAGGCACCCAAAGTGATCATCCAGATTCTCTCGTATGTTTGTTCAGTGCAGACACACAGAGGATGGTGGTGCTTTATTGGCAGAAAACAGCTGAATGTAATAATTTTGAGTTTTGCTACTTTTTAGGCTTGTGACTTGAGCTCATGCCTTTCCCGAGATCTCGGGGGCTAGAAGACTGTCCCCAAAACCATGAACCCCAGTGAAACAAACACATATGTGCCCGTGGCTGTGTCCTCATCCTGGACCTGAAAGGCCGGTGGCCATGGGAATGGCTTTCTGGAAAAGGGGAGGGGCTTGGGCAAGCTTAGCCCACAGCTGTAGAGGAGCCCTCAGCGCGTCCAGCACGCCCTCAAAATGCAGATTCTCCTCCAGCCGGCAGCCCCTGCCTGTTTGCGATGAATCAAGGTGCTTTTGTGCTTCTGTTCCTTTCTCTTCAGCTTTACAATGGTCATTCTACATGGAAAAGGCCTCAAATGGTGCCTCTATAAACAGTAACCCTTGCCAGGCTGGAATGTGGTAGCCAGTGGCATGGACCGTTTACCCCTTTTGATGCCAGGAGACTATTTCTGAGAACAGGGAAGCCTCAGGGTCCTAACCCCAGCCTCCGCTCACATGTGTGACATTCACATCAACCCCAGGCAAAGCAGGGTGGGCCTCGGGCACACTGGGGCAGGCCACACGTGTCTGTGTGAGGGGTGATTCCAGGTTGGTCTGTTCAGAGATAACACAAAAAACTGGGCTAAGGCTAAACCCTTCTGTTTCCTCAAGTATGGAAAAAGGAAACAGGCAGGATGTAGGATAGTTATTAGGAACTTTAGGCCAGCACAGCAGAAGGATGTGTGTGTGTGCCCGTCCCCACATTTCCTTCCTTGCCCAGGACACGTGGATTTTAAGGACAGCCTGAATTGAGCTTGTAAGTGAAAATTAGACTGTGCCATGGGGATGCAGGGTCTCCTATTTCTTCCCTGCTTCTGGTCCCAGGGAGGTTCCCCAAAAAGATCAGCCCCACACGTGGACATCAGAAGCCCCTGTCTTTGCAGGGGGCGGCGATTATCTTGGAGGAATCTTCCCGATGGGACAGGCCAAGCACAGTGGCTCGGAAAGGACCGTGACTTTAACGTTACTGGGATCCAGGGCAGCTGGGCAGTCCAGAGAGGCAGGGGTTACCGAAGGGGAAGCAAAGTGTGCATTGTGAGCTTATGTGCACGCCTGGGGCAGCCTCCGATTGTGCTCGGCCGCCATGAGAGGAGTGCAGGGGCCACTGTGGGTCGATTCTGCGACCTCACCCAGCCCAGCTCTCCACTCTGCATCCCAGAGGTGGGAGGGAAGCTGGATCTGAAAGCCCAGTTCTAAGCCACCGCTGTCCCAGGAAGTCCTCACTCTGAGGGTCACCGCCTGGCCGGAGCTCGGGGAGCCATGGGCTAATGCAGCACATGACACCAAGCAACTTGTAGGCCCTGCTCACCTCAGCTTCGGGACCAAAACCTCCAGAGGGGCTGCTTTCCCCACTAGCAGCCGGCTCTACAGAGCTAAGCCTGGGAAATGGGTTTCCAGCAAAGCGGAGTAAGGAAGACGTGATGTCGCCCTGCCCGAGCTACCACCCCAGAGCCCGGGTTGAGGGAGCCCCTGCAAGGGTGGAGAGGACCAAAGGGAAGGTGTGGCCCAGAGCCCTCCTGCTAGCCCTGCCACGAGCCTCCTCCAGCCATATTTCGAGGTCATGGCCAGTATCACGAGGCAGGAGGATATGGGTGAGGATTCTGGGAGAACAGGAAACACAAAACTTCAAGACAATTCAACATAAAATATGAACATCATTGAGAACAGGCTTATCTACAGCCAGGTCTTGGACCAGAACATAAGTGACAAATCGGTGCTCTTCCCAGAGGAACAAGAAGTGCATTCCAGACACAGCCTAAGAATCCATCGACTTAGAAAAATGCAAGCCAATCACTTAAAGCATCTGACGCCGAACACAGGTAAAAAGTTTTATATAAAATATTTTATTAGAGTCTTTATTCCTGAAAAGTATCTAACTTTGTATTTATACACTCTGCGCCTCCCCCCGCCCGCCCGGTCGGGTTGTCTTGTCTAACGTTCGTCACGTTCTAATTCAGCTGGCATTTGACTAAAGCCTTAATGGGTGTTGACCACACTTTTTCCATCTGCACCACAGACCTGGAAGGAGAGAGATTTTCTTTTCTTCTTGAAGTAAAGGCTGATTGAGGATTCAGAAGCTGGTATTCTATGGAGATGAGGGAAATATCGTAGAATAATACTATCAGACACACGCCTGGAGCCAAGTCTGCACACCTGCATGTATGTGTGCATGTGCGTGTGTGTGCATGTATGTGTGTGTGCATGTGTGCACATGTGCTTGTATGTAGACACACACACACCATACACACACACGCACACATACACACCAGCCCCTCTGGAGCCTGAGCTAGTCCACAGGACTGTTGCAATAGGAGGAGCAGGCAAAGGCGAAGGACAGCCCCTCTCCATGGAGAGGTACCTGTCACGGGCGCTCCGATGCAAGGCCACTGAAGGGCGTTAGGCTTGGGTTTCCCTCTCATCTCAGCCGTCTGTTTGGTGACAGAAGGAATCACTGAACAATCAGCCACTAAGCTAGTATTGCACTTTATGCCTTACAAAGCATCTCGGTATACATTCATACGCCGTGAACAGGAGGCAGCAAACAAAACAGGGACTTCGGGGTCCAAACGGAATGAGAGGAATCCCGACTCTGCTCCTTCCGCGTTCTGGGGCCTCGGGGACGTCACGGAACCTCTCCCCGCCTCCGTGTTCCATGTCTGCACCATGAGCAGGGCTAAGCCAAGTGGCCACGCGGGTCCCTCCCACCACACTGGAGGGCAAACCCACGTTGGAATCCCCTCCGTCTCACTCCCAGGGCCTGGGACAGGACCAGGCGAGAGGGGTGGGTCAGTAAGGGTTTGAGGAGTGGGCAGGGACGGGGGATTCTGAGGGCATTCAGCCCAATGCCTGGAAACAGCCACGAGGAAAGGTGCTCGGTGCACCAGGGTCGTGCCTTCTCTTCTCACTGCAACAACCAAGCCCGGTTTCTGCCCCATGGGTGTGGTCTGTCCCTGATGTCGGGCTGGGGAAATGACTTTTTGTGGGTTTCTAAGATAAGTTTTCACCTCAAAGCTCCATGTCCTCTTTTCTGGTCCTGAAGGCGCCTCCCCCAGGTGATGTGATCCAATTCTAGCATCGACTGTGTAAAACTTTGCACAGTCACTCCCCTTCCTGGAGACAGCTTCCCACTTCACCCAAGCAGGGAGTTTCAGAGAATTCAATCTCCAGTGGATATTCAGCCAGAGGAGAAGAAAGAGAGGCACAAAATGACAAAACTTTTTGGATGGGGACAAAGGCAAAAGGCCCCAGCAGTTTCACTGAAACTTCCATTTTCACCTCTATTAACCACTGGGGCAGCTGCGAATCTTTTATCCAAGGTTTAATCCTTCCTTCTAATGGAAGAAACTCAATCAGAGATGAAAGGAATATCTGGGTCATTGCATTCAGGAATTACTGAAACAAATTAGACTTGGGGAGTTGGTCTGGGTTTAACGTTCACCATGTGAAAGACAGCACGTTGCTGTGCGCCTCTGAACCACAGCGAGTTAGAAAAGTAAATCAGTGAGTTGCTTGATGTTATCTTAGGTCATTGGAATAAGGCATTTTACCAAACTACCTTAACACAAAAAGCAGCGGGGAAATATCTGGAAAGCTAAACAATGCCATTTGAGTCAATGTTGCCAAAGGTTACGAGGAAAATGCCCAACCAGGGGCCCTTGCTGAACCTGGAAGAGGGAGGCTGGCTGCGCCCAGGACAGACGCATCCTCTCCTTCTTGGCGGTAGGCTTTCCTCCAGTCTACAGGGGAGGGCTGAGCAAAGCCATCCTGGAGCATCAACGGCAGAATCCTCACCTACTCCAGTTCACCCTTCAAAAAATAAACCCACGTGATCTCACATATCCATTCCCTTCTTGTAGCCTAACAGCCCTCACGGTTCCCAAGCCCTTCCCCCTAGAAGTATCTCCATCAAACTCCTACGGGAGTCATTCCCTCAGAGGGCTTAGGTGCTCTCCGAAACCAGATTTTAAATCTAGAGGCATCTCACTGTTTCCTCCTGAAACTGATGAGGTACAGCAAGCAGTCTCAGCAAAAGAGACCAAGCTGCTTCTGGGGCAGGGCTGTGGGTCCACGCAACGCAGACACACCTGTATTAGGGCCATGAACCCCCGACACTAATCCACAATGGGAAAGGCTCACCTGGAGGGAACGGGCGTTTTCAACACCGACCTCACTCAATGTAGTTCTGAGTCATGAGCAAGGACTTTTGCCTTTTTCCAATTCTGCATTTCACCCAGCTATTCCTAGGTGGGTCTTCCCTATGTGCGATGTCTTACAAGAAGATCTATTTTGAAATTAAATGAGGACTTTTTATAAAGGCTAAGTTTGACTCTGGTTAAAAACTTAATCTGGAAGGCAATGCCGTATTTGTATAGAACAAGCACACTTAAAATTACACTTTAATATCTATCTCAATTGTGTTTTACTAAAAAAGATCTAGCAGTAAAAAAGGAATCTCTAAGAATTTGCAAACTAAATCCATGTGTAAATAAAATTCAGACCCTTTTCGTTCTTTCAAAGTGGGAAATAAGAGCTTCGGGGACATCACCAAGGAATCCCACGCCCTTTGACCCCCTTTGAGCTGGCATGGCCTTGGGCATGATGTACTGTAACTATTTACAGATGAGGAAAAATGTAGCTCAGAAAGGTTCACTGATTTGCCCACAAAAACACAGCCTTTCCATCGGAAGCCCGGATTCTTGGAGAATGATATTCTAGAAGGAGGAAACAACAGCATTTTCCTAAAGATGGACTTCTTTGGCCAGAATCACCTTCTCCGCGTGTAGTCAAACTGCCTCTGAGAGCTGACAAGCACACGGGCAGCCTTGTTATGAATTCAAAGGCCACTTGACCTCCAGATAGGCACCAGTTCCTGCCCTAGTGGGATTTGACCTATGTGATTCAGTCGTAAGAAAGAAGCGGTTTCCAATATGCAAAGTTTACACAAGCCTAACACTGAGGCGGTGATGTGGCTGTGAGATCACAAAAACCAGAGATGAAATCCCCCACCACTCGAAATGCGTTGTTTGATCAAGTTTCAAATGCCTCCACACACTGAAGTCTACTGACTTTGCCCTAAGCCCTTGGATTCTGATGCCATCTTGTTGGCCTCCTCCCCTCTTGCACAGTTAGCCCATCTTTCTCTGCTGGCTGCTCCTGCAGAGACAACCCTCAAAGGTCATGCCTGAATTTCCCTAAGCCCTGCTCTTTCAGGTTCAGTGGAGGTAGCTGAGATGATATAGAAGGAAAGGGATGCTGTTTGTTTGTTTAAATCAACCTAGGCAAAATTAAGGTAGTCAGAAAGTTAGGAAGAAACAAACAATATATTTTGCTTAAAATAAGAAGCACGTGGAAAATAAAAGACTTTGAAAGAGTTGGCCAATGTCTTCTTACAATGTTTTGTATAGCTTTTAAAAATTTCTGCATGGTTCAGTGGAGAGGGTGTCCACGTCTTCCCTCCACCTGGAACCTGCATTCAATACTTCACCAGTGCTGTCTGCGTATGAGACCAGCTACGTGATTCGGTTAAACCCCTTGCCTCTCTAAACAAAGTACGTGATTTACCCCGAATCATTCTTCAGCAAGTACTAAAAAGGTACAGTTTCTTCAAATGAATGCAATTGATCAACTTTTGGCTTGCAAAAATGAGTTCTCATTGGAAAAGAGACACACCTTAGAAAGATGAAACTATGAAAAACAACAGTCAAAAAATGGAATCGCTCCGTGCTCGGCCCCTCTGCCCCGAGACATCTGACTGTGCAGCCATCAGCCGAGAGGTTGCTTGCGGTTCCCCATCCAGGACCCACGGTGCCTGGTACTAAGGAGCAACTGGACTGAGGAAGCCTCTCGTCACCAGCTGTGTTGCAGTTTTAAATTCTGCCCCAGTTGTGGTATTTAAAATTCTGTATGTAAAAAAAAAAAAAGAACCACCGACCTTCCTACATCTTCCTAGTTAAAGCTAGAAAGGGGAATGGAGAGAACCCAACCCAGCTGGGCGGAGCGGCTGCACACGAGACACCCACAAACCCAACGCGGTTCTAGGGGTTGGATCAGAAGAGTCTCTGCATCATCGGTCGGGCACAGGCTTGCCTCCTCGATTCTAGACGTGCCCTCGGCCACAGTGTCTAATCTTCCTCTTTCCTGGCATTTGGGTGTTTTACCTCTCTGCCCGGATTTTGTACCTGAGGACAAAATAGGCAATGAGGCGCAGGGAGATGAAGAAAATCCCGAGTACGATGAAGTCCAGGTACAGCTTGGCGTTTTCCACGTCCAGCTCCCGCAGGATGGCCTCTGACTTCTGGAAGTGGCACGTCTCGTCGATGTCACAGTGCAGATCTTCTCGGTCTAAGCCATAGATGGAGAGGATGACCCCTTCGAACCCATACCTAAGAGGAAAGGCCGGGCATGAGGGAGGACGCTCTCCCAGCCAACCACGCCGTTGGCTGAAGGTCGATGTTGTTCACCCTCCCTGTGATTCCCAGCCTGGCTGTCCTCCCTTCCCAAAGGGCTGCCTTCCCCAGAATACTTCCTCACCGCCCACCATCTTCTTAAGATAAACACGGGCAACAGCTCCACTCTGTTTTTCTTCCAGTTTTGTTTCTTCCAGGGCCCCGAGCAAAAAACCAAGTTGAATGAACAGTACATATTCATTCACTGGTGAAATGTGCTGAGAAATCTTTTGTTCACTTCCGAGGTTACGTGCTTTCTATCGGTTGGAGGGAATCATGGGCTGGCCAACTTGCAAGGACTTGAGAACATTTATATGAAACATTCCTGCCCCCTCTCTCCCTCTGCTCCAGCCCCGCCCTGTCAGGACAAAAGCATTCATTTTCAGAAGAAAGACGTCGGTTTCTGATTTCGTGGTGTTGGAGCACACACAGATTGTTGAAACTCTGTACAAGGGCTTTGTTTTCATTCTGTTTTCTTGAACAATATACCTGAGTCTGAACTGACATTCTAGAAAAGAAGAGCTTGTTCCAAACTTTGGATCTTTGTGTCACGTGGAACTTCTGCAGCTCGGAAGATGGGTGCTGCCCCTGGTGGGGCCAGTGTGCCAACACCCCGCTCTGCAGAGGGCACGAAACCCTGTAGCTAAGGACCCGAGGCACTGGGCATTCTTGTTCCAAGATATTAGGATGTTTAAAAAGTTGTTTAAAAATGACTTGTTTCCCACCAGATTTCCTTCCTTCCTTCCTTGTTTGCTTCCTTCCTTCCTTCCTTTCTTCCCTCCCTCCCTCCCTCCTTCCTTCCTCTCTCCTTTTCTTTCTTTCTTTTCTTTTCTCTCTTTCTTTTCTCTTTCTTTCTTTCTTTCTCTTTGTCTTGCTCTGTCACCTAGGTGCAATGGCACAATGCCAGCTCACTGCAATCTCTGCCTCCCAGGTTCAAGAGATTCTCCCGCCTCAGCCTCCGGAGTAGCTGGAATTACAGTTGCGTGCCACCATGCCTAGTTAATTGTTTTGGGTTTTTAGTGGAGACAGGGTTTTGCCATGTTGGCCAGGCTGGTCTCGAACTCCTGACCTCAAGCTATCTGACTGCCTCGGCCTCCCAAAGTGCTGGGATTACAGACATGAGCCACCACACCCAGCCCCCACCAGATTTCTTATAAAGGTTTTACAATCAGCTCTTGTTAGGAGCACTGTTCACTTCGGGAAGGAAGAACGTTTCTAAAAAATGGAAGCGCTTCCACCAAAGGCAGCTCTTGGAAACATCCAGAACACTTGGGCCTGCCATGGCCCTTGGGGTTCGAAGCGCTGGTTTGTGTGGCCTCCTTGTTTAGTGTGTGTGTGTGTTGGCGAGGAGCAGGTGGAACTAGCAGGAAGATGGAAGGCATGGATCCTCAGATGTGTGATCTGCACTCGGCCGGCAGCCCAGAGTGGCTTTTGTGAGCCCCTCACGCCATTGGAGGAAGTTCTTCCCTCGTCACCCTCGGTCCCCACGCCATGTGTGCCCTGCGCCCGCTACCTGACATAGGAGATGTAGGACATCCACTGCAGGTACGTGGGGATGGTGTCGAAGCTGACGAAGAACCCCGAGAACAGGAGCACTGGGATGGCTGTCACCGGGCCCACGAAGGTGGCCACCTGGAGTTGGGGGCACATGGGACAGATGTAGCAGAACCTGTAGCATGGCCCCCTGCAGAGGAGGCTCGCCCACCCCAGCTTCCCCCGGGGCAGGGCCAGGGCACCTTCTGGGCATGGTAATGAGGGTCCTTAATGGGGCAGAAGGTGCAGCATCCCCGAGGTGTGGGGTCACCATCTCTGAGGATCCCCCAGCTGCCCTGCTGTGACGTGGCAGCCCCAGAGCCTCCTACAGCCCAGGATGAGCTGGGACCCAGTGGATGTGCCCAGGCCAGACAGATGGGGACACACCCTCCTCAACTGGCTGCTGCCTGCTCCTCCACAGCTGTTCCTGGGGGGCTAAGGCCAGTGCCTGGCCCGTGGCAGATGTGTGGCGGGCACCCCCGCGGTCGGGGCCCAGTGGAAGGACTGCAGCCTCCATAGGCAGGATGGATGCCTGCCTGTCGGCCCCTCCGGGAGAGCAGCCCAGAGACGGAACAAACCGCCGTGACTCAGGGTTCACAGTGAGCACAGGTCCAGCCAGGGCGCTGTGAGTGTATGGGGGGTAGGAGGTTGTGTGGAGTGTGTGTGGTGTGTGCAGTGTCTGCTGTGTGGTGTGTGGTATCTGTAGCGTGTGGTGTGGTGTGTAGTGTGTAGTGTGTGTGTGTGGTGTGGTACGTGGTATGGACTCTGTGATGTGTGTATGTAGTATTTGTGTGTAGTGCGTAGTGTGGTGTGTCTGCGGTGTGCAGTGTGATGTGTGTGTAGTGTGTGGTGTGTAGTATGTAGTATGTAGTGTGTAGTGTGGTGTGTAGTGTGTGGTGTGTGTGTGGGGTGTGGTATGTGGTATGTACTCTGTGGTGTGTGTATGTAGTATTTGTGTGTAGTGTGTAGTGTGGTGTGTCTGCAGTGTGTAGTGTGATGTGTGTGTAGTGCGTGGTGTGTAGTGTGTGTGGTGTGTAGTGTGGTGCGTGTAGTGTGGTGTGTCTGCAGTGTGTAGTGTGGTGTGTCTGCAGTGTGCAGTGTGATGTGTGTGTAGTGCGTGGTGTGTAGTAGGTAGTATGTAGTGTGTAGTGTGGTGTGTCTGCAGTGTGTAATGTGGTGTGTGTGTAGTGTGTGGTGTGCAGTGTGTAATGTGGTGTGTTTGTATTGTGTGGTGTGTAGTATGTAGTGTGTAGTGTGTGGTGTGGTGTGTGTAGTGTGGTGTGTCTGCAGTGTGCAGTGTGATGTGTGTGTAGTGCGTGGTGTGTAGTATGTAGTATGTAGTGTGTAGTGTGGTGTGTCTGCAGTATGTACTGTGGTGTGTGTGTATTGTGTGGTGTGTACTGTGTGTGTAGTGTGTGGTGTGGTGTGTGTAGTGTGGTGTGTCTGCAGTGTGCAGTGTGATGTGTGTGTAGTGCGTGGTGTGCAGTATGTAGTATGTAGTGTGTAGTGTGGTGTGTCTGCAGTGTGTAATGTGGTGTGTTTGTATTGTGTGGTGTGTAGTATGTAGTATGTAGTGTGTAGTGTGGTGTGTCTGCAGTGTGCAGTGTGGTGTGTGTGTAGTGCGTGGTGTGTAGTATGTAGTATGGAGTGTGTAGTGTGGTGTGTCTGCAGTGTGCAGTGTGATGTGTGTGTAGTGCGTGGTGTGTAGTATGTAGTATGGAGTGTGTAGTGTGGTGTGTCTGCAGTGTGCAGTGTGATGTGTGTGTAGTGCGTGGTGTGTAGTATGTAGTATGGAGTGTGTAGTGTGGTGTGTCTGCAGTATGTACTGTGGTGTGTTTGTATTGTGTGGTGTGTACTGTGTGTGTAGTGTGTGGTGTGGTGTGTGTAGCGTGTCATGTCTGTGTGCGTGTGTGCCATGTGTAACCGTGCAGATAGGGGCATCCCAGTCCTGCCCTGATTAGTGACCCCTGCAGAACCTGAGCGCCCTAGGCAGGAGGCCTGGGGGTGGCTGAGCAGGTGCGCTGAGGCTGGCCTTGGGGGACATGGGTTGCTGCAGCTGGTGTGGGCCCAGCACCTTCCTGCCGTGTCATCTTTGGTCCATGGCAACCTTGTGAGCCGGGCTCCGTGGCTATCCTCATCTAGGGTGAGGGCACCCGGGCCCTGGGGGCCAGGCAGCCAGCTCGTGGTGGACTGGAGGTGACCCGGGAATACACTGCACCCAGCATGGGACCCTGGGGGCCTCGAGAGCAGTGCTTTTGTCCAGAAGGACAGGCTCAGGCCGAGTGTCCCGAAGCCACAGAGGTAGAGAACCTGCAGGTGCACATGGGTGGCAGGTCGGGGGACAGGGTGGGCGATGGGAGAAGGAAGGGGCCCATGGAGAGGCCGAGGGTCCCTGCAGAGGCAGCGATGTGTAGGTGTTGAGAGCTTGCCTCCTGAGACAGCTGTGTGACCCCCTGACAAATCACTTTGCCTTCTGGGCCTCAGGGCCCCCCTGTGTAAAATGGGGCCAGCACAGCACCTAAGCGTGGCTGTGCTTGGGGCTACAGCTCAGATTTGGGAAAGGCTGGGAAGGGCGCCCAGCACGCAGTCAGCACACGTGAGGCTGCCCGCTCTGCGCACTGTGGAAGCCAGCCGATCCTGACCCCCGACAATGCGGGCCCTTCCTGTGGAAACGACCCCATCTAGGAGGGTCAGGGCAGAAGTAGGGGGAGGGGTGGCAAAGCCCCCTAGCTCAGGCCAAGATGGTGCAGGGAAGCCCAGCCCTCATGCCCTCACTCAGCGCCTCCTGGGCTGGCACCTGCAGGGACGTGGAGGCGGCTCCGATCAGCAGGCCCAGGGACTGTGCCACCAGCGAGGTCATGGTGCCCAGCGCGGCAAACAGCACGAAGCGCACGGCGTCGGACGGCTGCGATGTCATCCAGTACACGATGCTGCAGTAGGCCACTGGGAACATGATCTGGAAACAAGTGCCCATCAGCCTCGGGCTCAGCCGCTTCTCACTACCGCAGGCCAACAGCAAAGCTCCTGGGCAGCCCGCCCTTCCCTGTAGCTCCCACCAGAGCTCCCGACGTCAGGTCCTTCCCCACTCCCCACAGCTCCTGCCAGAGCCCCCACCAGAGCTCCCGACGTCGGGCCACGCCACCCTGCATCCCTGGCAGGCCCTCTTACTCAATATAAAGGGTGTACAGGAGAACTCTTGCCCCCGTTTCCTATTCCAGCCCCTGCCCTGGCTAACACACCTGAAAGGGCACGTCCGCCATGGTCTTGGCTAGGTAGTAGGCCTTCAGGCTGTACCAGTAGTTCAGGTGTTCCCGAAGAAAGACTCCCATCTCCAGGGGAACTAGGAGATAGAAAAGCAAAAAAGAAGCGTCAGCGACCATGCACAGCGAGTCTGTTTAACATCCCAACCGGCGATCTTGAGCTGAGCGGCTCGTAACCCAGCTCTGGCCTAGGGCACTGAGAGACTGAACAAGCAGAGGACGTGTTTTGCTAGCCTGGAAAACTCGCCCCCCATGTGGATAACCTGAAGAGTCATCGGGTGGAGAATCAGGGTGGGGAGCGTGTCTGTGAACACAAAGCATCCTCTTAGTGATGAATGCAAGGATTCGTGCCTGGCCTTACTCTTCCTGAGTCGGCCTCTTCTGAAACTCCGCATCAGCGTGGTCCCTTCCCGTGAGCAAGGCTGCGAGCTGCTCTTGGAAATCAGGGGCGGCTTGGGGAGGAGGTACCTAGGGAGGGGCTGTTTATGCTGAAGTTCAGGAGAAGCAGCAGCTGTGTTCACTGTCGCCCAAAGTGACCAAGGGCAGCCTCCTTGTGAACAAACTGGAATTGTGTGGAGATCCATCTAAGAGAGCTTCTCTGCTCCTGAAGTGGGCTGTGCAGAGCTATCTTAACAATTGAACTAGGTAACGCTTAAGTAGTAGACTTGGGGGGCTCCTAATCAGTGAATCTTTGAGAAATCCCCCTCCCATCAGCCTTCCCCCATGCTTAAAAGTCTTCCATTCGGGATTCACTCCTTTGGCTTAAGTATTGTATTTTCTTATCTAACAGCAAATACAATACAACTTGCATCTGTCAACAAAGAAGATGATATTTTAAAAAACAAAAACATTGTGTTTAGAAAACTCATCCGTTGGTCAAGGCATGACCTCAGGCCCCCCATGCTTGGGTAGGAATTGAAAATAAGGAAGAAAGGGTCTGTGGTCTGTCACTCACATGTCAGAACAGTGGGCATGAGGGCCGCGAACATGAGGAACAGCATGGAGAAGAAGAGGAAGCCGGAGTTGCTCAAGACCTTCTTGGCTTCGTTCCCGATCCCCAAGTACAGCAGGCCGATGAGGAGGCCGATCCCAATGTGCGAGGTGATGCGCAGGTGCGTCAGGACCTGGGGGCAGACCCGCGTCTTACCCGGGGCATGTGCAAAGCTGTCCTCAGCCCAGAGAACAACCCAGCTGCGGCCTTTGGAAGCATGGGACCCCGAACTCTGTGACAGCAGTTCTTAGACTTTATCCTCTCTTCTCCTCCAGAAAAACAAGCCAAACCCTAAAGCAACTCACATACACACACACACACACACACACACACACACACACACACACACACGTCAGGCTTTTGTTGTGTTAAAACAGACATAATTACTATCCTTTGTTAAAGATTTAAAAATGGAGAACAAACGAAGTCTACCCTCAGAAGAGAGGAAAGGTAAAAACAATGGTGAGGGAAAAGTGGCCATATCAGAGGCTCCAAGAACTCTGGCGTGGGCTGCGGTGAGCCCCTCTGTCTTTCAAATTAGGTCCCAGAAGCCATGCCAGGCATTCAGCCGCTCCTAAGCAGGTGGCCAGATTGTCCACTTCTCTGGTGGAACTATGGTTCCCGCGTATTCATCACCTCCTTCCCTATAAGGAATTGTCCAGCCCCCCACCCCAATCCTCATAATTCACAGTGCTTTCCTGAAGGAGAAATGGACTTGCCTACAGCCCTGGTTTCAGGCTTGGCCATGTGACTTGTTTAGGCCAATGGCATGTGAGTGCAAGTGACAATTTGCCACTTCCAACTGGAAGTTTTAAGGGCTGTCATTTGGTTTCTCTCTTGCACTTTTCCTTTGACATGTTGCAGAAAGGCATGTCCAGACAGGAGCTGTCGCAGGATGAGAAGACTTATGGGATAGAGCCATGACACAACCCACTGTTGCCACCCCTAACACAAGCAGGACACAAATATCAGTGGAGGGAGACACGTACATTATGGGAGTGTTTGTTACTGCAGCATTACAGTGAACGCTGACTATTGCAAATGGAAGAAAAGTAATTTGAAAGTTTAGTGGTATGGTTTGGGTCTGTGTCCCCACCCAAATCTCATGTCAAATTGTAATCCCCAATGTTGGAGATGGGGCCTGATTGGATCACGGGGGTGGAATTCTTTGGTTCTGTGCTTGTGACAGTGGGTGAATTATTGTGAGATCTGGATGTTTAAAAGTGTGTAGTGCTCCATTCCCCTTCCCAGGGGAATGCCTGCCCTTCCCCTGCCTTCCACCATGATTGAAAGTTTCCTGAGGCCTCCCGGGCTATGCTTCCTATATAGCCTGCAGAACAATGAGCCAATTAAACCTCTTTTCTTTATAAATTCCCCAGGCTCAGACCTGCCTGCGTTCCTTCCTTCCTGCCTGCCTGCCTTCCTTTCTCCCTCCCTTCCTCCCTTCCTCCCTTCCTCCCTTCCTCCCTTCCTCCCTCCTTCCCTCCCTCCCTCCCTTCCTTTCAGATGGGAGTCTGGCTCTGTCACCCAGGCTGGAGTGCAGTGGCGCGTTCTTGGTTCACTGCAACCTTTGCTCCCTGGGTTCAAGCAGTTCTTCTGCCTCAGCCTCCTGAGTAGCAGGGATTACAGGGCATGCGCTACCAGGCCCAGCTAATTTTTGTATTTTTAGTAGAGATGGGGTTTCCCCACGTTGGCCAGGCTGGTCTGAACTCCTGGCCCCAAGTGATCCGCCTGCCTTGACCTTCCAAAGTGCTGGGGCTACAGGCGTAAGCCAGTACACCCGGCCTCAGACATTTCTTTACAGCAGTGTGAGAATGAACAAACATGTTCCGTCAGGATGAGTCTATGAGAAAATGACACACGACTTCCCTAGCCCTGGGAGAAGATTGGGGCAGCCTTACCGAGTCCCTCATGATGCTGAGGAAGGTCCTCTTGAAGAGGATGCAGAACTGCGTGAGGCAGCTGGCAGAGAAGCTATGGCAGCCTTCCATGGACGAGGAGTCCTGAGGACACACGCAAGAGGGCAACGGGTGAAAGCCAGTCAGAGCCGCTGCTCCTTCTTGCTCGGAAAGAGCTCTCATGCAGCGGTGCACAGTGCCACATGCAGCCTTCCCCAGGGGGCTTCAGGATTTGCATTACCTTTCTCAACCCCTTTAATCGTTTTGTCTGCTTTACCTCTTCAGAGGGCCGGTGCCAAAGAAAAGGGTTCACCTCGGCATCACCCCCGAGGTCTCTCTTGTGGTCGGAGTCACACATGCCCTCCCGAACCGCTCTCACCAGGCGACTGTTCTGATCGCCGTACTCGCCGGATGCAACCTCCATGACTGCAGGAGACACAGACGCAGGGTCAGCCCAGGTTCCAGGAAGGACGGCCCAATCACCCAGATGCGAAATTCGTTATTCGAGTGGGAATGTTTTAAAGTGATTCCATAGATGCTGCCTGGTGGTGCTAATGGCATGATGTCAAAGTCATTTATCAACAAGCGTGTGGCTCTCAAACCCCCCAGCAAGGCCCTTTATCACGTCAGGAGACTGGAAACGCAAACACACACTGTGCTGTGGGTGGTCTGAGAAGTAATGAGCTCCTGCATCTACCGACTGCTCATCCAGCCGGTACTTACTGAATGCCTGCTCTGGGCCAGCCTCCAAGGTGGAGCTGGGGAGGGGAGCAGAACAAAGGGCTCCTCCTTGAGGGACACCTCCTTGAGGAGCTTGTGGTTTGGCAGGGTGTGATGAGAGCCACAGCAGTTCTACAAGATGGCAGAGAAGGACATGCCCATCACCGTACGAGCAGCTGGCACCCTGGGGACTTGGAGGTCCTAGGACTCTCCACCTGCACCTCTCAGATCCCGGTGAGTGTCTCCTGCACAGGCTCTCCCCACCTGCTCCTTCCTCCCACATCCCAATCGTCACCTCCCCGCTCTGCCTGCGGACTTGCTCCCCTAAGGTCTGCCTCCACCTCGACTTCCTCTGCAGCCTGCAACTCCTTCCACACTCCCGCGGAAGGCCACACTCCACAGGAGACTGGCCTCCTGCCCTCTGCCTACCTCTGCTTTCTCCCAACCCCTCTGCCCTCTCCTGCCTCCGTGTCCTCCTGTGCGACTCCTCGCCTCCCACTCCAGTAACGTTCTTGCTAAGGCCCAAAGCTCCTCAACGCCCTTCCCTTTTCCGCACTTCCCTCTGGCAGAGCCAGCTACTTGCTTCCTCCCAGCTGGTACGGGGGCCACCACACCCCCTAGATCAAGCCACAGACCAGGACACATTGGCCCTACCAGAAAGTCATCCTCAAGGGTTCTAAATGAGCCCACAGCACTGCCAGGCAACGTTTCCAGACCCCTCTGGTCACCCACACCCGCTACAGTGGGCCACACTCCCCCCCATCTCCCACTCTCTGGTCAGACGACACTGAGGAAATGGAATCCCCAGAACACCCTCATCTCTCCAGGATCTCTCCGCATCCCCATGTGCTGTGTTTCCTCTCCTTCCTGCCCGCCCTTCCCTCCGGGTTCTCACCTCCATGCAGGCTTCACACCTCTCCTCCCTGCCCCACTCAGCAGCATCCGTTACTGACCCGTTCCTGATCTGTTCCTCTCCCTTGTGAGCAAGCATGAAGCCAGAACCACAGCCCTCCCAGGTCCTGTCCCCCCTTAAACCACACCCCCTGCACCTCTCTCCCTCTCTCCTCTCCATCACAGCCTACTCCTTGTGAGTGAGAGGCGCTTCCCGTGAACAGTGTCTCATGCAACACAATTTGGGAAATAGTGTGGTAGAAAATACGAGTCCTGGGAATTGCACGAATCAAGTATTTTAAAGAAAAACGACAGATTAAGGCTGATGGCTGGAAGGCGAAGGAGGAGGGAAGTCCGCCTGGACCGTCACCATGCAACCTTATTTGAAAAAGGGTCTTTGCAGAGGTAATTAGGATCTTGAGATGAATCATCCTGGACTTAGGGTGGGCCCTGAATCCAATGACTGCTGTCCTCAGGAGAGGAGGCGATTAGGACACAGAGAGAGGAGAGAGGCAGAGAAGGGCTGGCCAGATGGTTTTACCTAGAGTCTAGAGGAAAGGGCACCTTTTTTTTTATTTGTTCTTTAACAGTTTTATCACTGGATGACACTTGAGCCATTTGTGGAATAGTCAAGTGGTTTCTGAGTTGGGGGCATCTGCACTTTTTACTAAAAGTGAAACCTACAGAGGAGGAAAATCCCCTTTCTGTCCCCCAAGCTGCTCAGGGCTCCGCTTACCAAAATCTGCTGGGTTGTGGTAGGTTGGGCAGTTCAGACCCAAATCCCTCAAATATGGCACAAGATTGCAGACTTTTCCCCGGTACACACATTGTCCTTGACTCAGGACGTAAAGCTGGAAAAAAGGAAGGAGAGAAAGGGATCAAGCCCTGCCTTCCACGGAAAGCAACCAGAGCTCTCCATCAGTCAATCAGCCACTCAATCGGTCAGCCCAACGCTCAGCCACTTCCTCTCCTGAGAGCTTTGCATCACCCCCAAGGGTCCTATTAACATGTGAAGGGAAAGCCGTGAAAAGCCAGGGAAGAATATCGACGGCCAGGGATGATCTGATTATATTGCTTGCTTTTTATTTTTCATGCTAACCCCCTGCTCAGAAAAAATTTTGGAGCTATACACATTTTATCCCTTTGTGACTATTTTTGCTCAGACTAATATCAAAACTTAAGTTGTTTTTTTGTTGATGTTGTTTTATTTTGTTTTGTTTTTGATACAGGGTCTTGCTCTGTTGCCCAGGCTGGAGTGCAGTGGCACGATCTTGGCTCAGTGCAACCTCCACCTCCTGGGCTCGGGTGATCCTCCCACATCAGCCTCCCGAGTAGCTGGGACTGTAGGAATATGCCACCACACCTGGATAATTTTTGTACTTTTTTTTTCTTTTGTAGAGACAGGGTTTTACCATGTTGCTCAGGCTGTTCTTCAACTCCTGAGCTCAAGTGATCCGCCTACCTCAGCCTCCCAAAGTGCGGGGACTACAGGGAAGAGCCACCATGCCTGGCCAAAACCTGAGATTTATAAACCCAATGATACTGTGCAAATGCCGTAACCCGTTATTAATTCTGGAAAACAAGTGTCCCCCCCACCCTTATTTTTTTTTTTTTTGAGACGGAGTCTCGCTCTGTCTCCCAGGCTGGAGTGCGATGGCCGGATCTCAGCTCACTGCAAGCTCCGCCTCCCAGGTTTACACCATCTCCTGCCTCAGCCTCCTGAGTAGCTGGGACTACAGGCGCCCGCCACCTTGCCCGGCTAGTTTTTTTGTATTTTTTAGTAGAGACGGGGTTTCACCGTGTTAGCCAGGATGATCTCGATCTCCCCCCCAGCTTTTTAACAGGGGAGGTGATGAAGTTCTACAATGCCGGTGACACGGTGACACCCAGGATCCCATGACCGACCACCAGGACCGAGAGAGGACCCTGCTCAGCAACTTCCACTCCCCACGCCCTTCGCTGCATGTGGTTCCACAAGTCTCACAAAACCTGGCACTTAAACGCTCTCAAAAATGAAGACGCCCCACAAGCTAACAGAAGGCCGAGGGTACCCAGGGTTTGCTGTCATTCGGGCTGACCTGAGTGCAGCGGTGATCTGGTGGGGAGGGCCCGGGGCCCGCGTACCTGGTCGAACAGCTCGAAGAGTTTGGCGCTGGGCTGGTGGATGGTGCAGATGATGGAGCGCCCCCCTTGAGCGAGCCCTTTCATCAGCGAGACCACCTGGAAGCAGGAGGCGCTGTCCAGGCCGCTGCAAGGCAAGGGGCATCGTGAGATGTCCATGGGCGGCAGGAACAAGCACTGCTCCAGGTCCCAGGGGCCCAGGGAGCTCCTGTCCCAGAGGACTTGGCATCAGGGGCCTGTAGCTGCAGCTGCCCCGTCCCAGGCCGGGGCAGCTCTTGCTGTTTGTTTTTTGCTGCTTAGTGTCGGGGCACCCAGTGGGGCTTTGCATGTCATATTTTATTCCTGGCAAGAATGGAGGGACCCCAGCGACCCTTCCTGCCAGAGTTTAGGACTGGGGGGGTCCCCACTCATCTGGGTGGGGACTTCACAACTGTCCAGGCAGAAGAGAGGTGGGGGTCCCCACTCATCTAGACGGTGGGGGGACTTCACAACTGTCCAAGCAGGACAGAGGTTTGGGGGGTCCCCACTCATCTGGGCAGGGGGGGACTTCACAACTGTCCAGGCAGGACAGAGGTGGGGGGGCCCACTCATCTGGGGATCAGGAGAATTTCACAACTGTCCAGGCACGACAGAGGTGGGGGGGGTCCCCAATCATCTGGGCAGAGGGGACTTCACAACTGTCCAGGCAGGACAGAGGTTGGGGGATCCCCACTCATCTGGGCAGAGGGGACTTCACAACTGTCCAGGAAGGCAGCTGTGCCTCAGGTGGTCTAGTGCTCCACAGTCACCACCCCCCACTCCCCACCTCCCATCTATGGGGCTGGCGATGGGGGTGTCACCCCATAGAAGGCAGCCTTGGTGCAGCCCAGGTGGGCTTTACTCCGGCAGGTAATTCACTGTACAGAAGGGTCCTTGGGGGGACCCCTCTTCTCTCTTCTCCTTTCCTGGCTGCTCACATCTACTCCTGCTCCCATCCCCTCAACTCTGAAGTGACAGGCCCAGGGGACAGTGTGTGCTGGGCAGTCCCCGAGCCCGCCCGTCTCAGAGCATTCAGGGCATTCAGCTTGCAAGATGCTATTCAAGGGTTCACTGTGGTCTGTTTTCCTGAAGTATCTGACAGACACCGTGGGCTGCTGCTGTGCAGGCCCAAGAGAAGAAACAGGTGAGCCTCCCCTCCCGACCCCCAGAAGGTCACTGTCACGTTGCTGTCAAATCTAGCCGGACTTTGGAGAGGTGAGTGAGTGGCAGAAATGAGACAATGGAAAGTCTGGCTTAAGTCATTTCAGGAGCAGCCTCATTCCTGGCCGCCCATCCTCCCCGGGACAACTGAACAGGACACATGCAGGAGTCAGGCGAGCTCAGCCTATGGCCGGGGGCACCAGAGCCAGAACTCCAGAGCAGCAATTCCACAGCGGAGCCCCAAACGTAAAGGGCATCACCCAGGACAGGGGTCAGAGCGCCCGTGGGTATAGAGAGCTGGCGAGCAACCGAGGCAGGATTCTGTCCTGCAGGCATCTCTGAGCCTCTGATGTGCTAAACTGCAGGGCATTTCCAGAACACTCCTGAGGACAGACCGTTTCCCAGGGCGTCCCATGACCTTGGCCTTCACAGTGGCTGAGCCATGAGGAACTTGGTGTCATGGAAAAGATATGCATCGTGAAAGGATGTTCCCCGCTGCCCCGATGACGGGGGACCCCCCCCCGACCTCTGTCCTGCCTGGACAGTTGTGAAGTTCCTCCCAAAGCCATACCCCCAGGGTCAACACATGCCGTGCAGGCCCGAGCACAGGGGGTCTCTGAGGGAGGGAGGGAGGGAGGGGGCGTAAGTCAGCTCTTCTACCCAGTGTTCCCAGATGGAAGGAGGAACCGCTGGGTGAGCTCACCCCTCTGAGGCTACATCAGGATGTCAGGGTCACCTGGAAGAACTGCTGAATAGAGGGGATTGTTCCTGCCCCTGGACATCAGCCCAGATGCTCCTGACTTACCTGGTGGGCTCATCGAAGAACATGACTGGAGGGTTGTTCACCAGCTCCAGCGCGATGGCCAAGCGCTTGCGCTGACCACCTGACAGGCTCCCGGTCCGCGTGTTGGCACAAGACAGCAAGCCCAGCGCTGTCAGTATCTCCTTGACCTGGGGCAACAGAACCAGAGACATTGGGAGCTGCCCGCCAAAGCTCACCACCTCCACGGCCCACGCGGGAAGACCTGACGGCCGCCCTCAGCCTGCTGGACACACGGTGCCCGGTCCACATGGAGGCCGCGGAAGTCGAGCCCACCCCAGGCTGCCCAGTGCCAAGTGGGGCAGGTGCCATTTCCACATCAGCAGTCCTGATGAGGGACAGAGACTGCCCAGAGGCTCTGCACTGCCCAGAGGCTGTGCAACAGTGCTGGGGTCAGACACAAGAGCCTGCGTCCTCATCAGTCATATGGCCTCTGGCACTCTGGCAGGTGCCCAGGGCACGTTCCTCACTGCTAAGCCTAGCCCAGTGCCCCATACGGAGGAGGTGTCCAGTCAGTGGCTGATGAATGGACACATGAGAGGACGCACAATTTCTGGTGGTTTCTGCCCAGAACGAAGGGGAGGGTTGCTGTGACGGTTACTTGAAAGAGTGAATGCAGAGTGCGGGGGGCAGCATGGAGTCCGCGGGGGGCAGCATGGAGTCCGTTGGGGGGCCAACGTGGAGTGCGCGGCGGGGGGCAGCGTGGAGTCCACAGTGGGGCAGGGTGGAGTCCACGGGGGGCAGCGTGAAGTCCGCAGGGGCTGTTCCCAGCACTCCCGTCATCGCTGAGGTAGGCGTTAAGGGCAGGAACACAGTCACACATGCCAGGGCTCTCGGGAAGGGGGACAGAGTCACTTTTGTTCTTGTAAATAGGTTTGACTTGAAAACAAGGTCTCTGAGGTGCCGGGAAGGCAACAACACAGATCTGCAATGCCCCTCAAAGCAGTTATGACCTACGGTAGCCACACCACGGCGTGGGCTCCGGGAAGCAGGCTGCACGCCAAGACATAAGCAGGGCACTGTGCACGGAGCCCTCCCTGTCTGCTCCAGATTATTGATCCTGTATCGACCCAGGGAACACAAAGGTCAGCAGATTTCTGTGCCGGTTTGGTGTTCTTTCAGCCCCGGCATCGTCTCAGAAGCAGGCCCTGGGTCAGCCACTGCCATCCCTGCCTCTCTACCCTGGGGACAGCCTGCCTGCAGCTCTCTCCAGCATTCACCCAGCCATTGTCCACAACCCGCCAGGGCAGCCCTATGGTGGCCAGCCCCTGGCGGCCATAGCAAGCGGACCCTACTCCGGCAGCTCCTCTAGGGAGATGAAGTCATCCGAAGGGAGGAAGAACTCACAAGGAAGAAAATTTCCACTCTGAGCTTTTGAATTATTTATGCACGGTCAGTACAAAGTGCAGCTTTGGTGACAGAAAGAACCAGGGCACGGCTGCTGGACAGGCCGGGGCAGGTGGCAGTACAGGGTCAGCTGACCTGGGCTCCAGTCCTGTCCTGAACGTCCTTGCTGATGCCCTCACCCCAGCCCTGGTGCCTCCCCTGGATGCCTGGCTCTGAGGGCCGCCAACCCAGAAACGGCTTCTGGGAGGCTGTCTGGAAAAGGCTGGTGTGTGGGGGGCGTGCAAGGTGGGCAGGGCCCTCTTCCCGGCCGGCATCGACGGCTGGTCTTCCCGGACGAGGTCTCCAGGTCTTCTGGAACCACTGGGCGACGCTGCCGGCCGACTGAATGGCTCTGGTGCTTCCAGGCTCACTGTGGGGGCCCCACACATGCGGCACGTCTTCTCTCTCTCCACCCTCACGGAGGGGATGCTGGAAGCGGCGGCTGCCATGGGTGCCTTTCCCTCCGCACCCCTGCCCATGAGCTGGGCCCGCCCCACTTTCTCCAGTGTCCTCTCAGGAGTGATGCCACCCAGATGGGCTCTGTTTTAAAGACTAGTCAGAAAGAACTAACAGTGATCTCAGTCATTTATACGTTTTTCCGTAACAAACCGACAAAAAAATTGCAAGGCTGCTTGTAGCTCCAGCCCTGCTGGGGTTTCCCAGTGGGCACTCCAGGGAGGGTCTCAGCAGCCCAGGCTGCTCCTGGAGACCTCACTCCTGAGGAAGTGGCCTTGCTGGAGGGCTCTGGGGGATTGAGGCTGCTTTGCTGAGGATCAAGGAAGGCCGTGAACAACACAGCAAAATTCCACGACCTTCTAGAACATTCCATTCCATTTTGTTTCCATGAGACACAGAGAACGTCGACCTAGGTGCACACTGGGGGTTGGAGGGAAGTGAGTGAAGCATGAAGTTGCTGCCGTGTTCTGAAGCAATCCTGATGGTGGGCCCGTCAGGGAGGTGTGTACCTGCACCATGGTGGGCCCGTCAGGGAGGCACCTGCACCATGGCTGAGGAACAGCTGGGTCTGCTGGTGAGAAGCATGTGCAGGATGCAGTGTGGCCTCCAGGTCCTGCGGGGAGGGCTCTCTGTGTTGTTCTATCCAGCTGAAGAGGAATCTGAGAACGGCACCAGGGGCTCACTCCTCAGGGATGATTCAGCCATGTGAGTTGATATTTTTGCCCTTATAAACCCAGTTGAAAATAGCTGGAGGCTCTTGTCCGGGCCGTGTCTTAGGCAGGGCCCAGGCACCACGAGGACACACGCCTATGGGTGCCATCTGCCTTTGGGCCTCGTGTAGCTACTCCTGGGAGGCGCCTCCATTCTCCACCGAGATGCCAGCTTGTTCTGGGTCTTCCGGCTCTGGCAGTCCAAGGGCCTGGCTTGCTGTGTCCTTGGCATGGAGCCTGCTGAGCAGCACTCACTGTGCACCCAGCCCTCGGGGAGGGTGACTTTTGCCAGCTATGCCAGAAAAGGCTGGTGGCTGTCACCTTATGCTGCAGGGAAGCAATCCCACAGCTCCTCCCATATGGATCACATGGGCTCCATCGAGCTCATTGACCTTAAAGAATCCATTCAATTCAGGTTGCACTGCCCCAAAAGGCAGGTGGGGCCTGGTTTCCTGTCCCTACGTTATAGGCAAAGATCGGAAGATCGGCTCGGGGCACGGCAGGCAGCGGCCCAAGGCCATCCGGTGGGTTCCAGGAGGCCAGGGTGGAGGGCTCCCCTGTGTGCTCAGCTCTGCTTCACCCCAGGGCCTCTCCGTGTTAGCAAGTCTCCCCACCCTCTGCCTCCTGCGTCTGCTCCCCCTGCCTCCAGTGTTCCCGGAGACCCTCTCCACCATCTGCTCTGTCCTTGGGCCTTTGGTTTGGGTCAGCGAGACAGAATTCCCTCTCTCCAGCACCTCCCCCTCCAGAGCTCTTGGCTCCTCCTCCACACTGAGCATCAGTGACCACTTTCGCCATCTCTCCTTGGAGCCCCCACAGCCGCCCCTCAGCTTGCAGGCCAGCGTCTGGAAGGGTCTTCGGGACCTTGATGGAGGGCTATCCGAGGCAAAGAGATTGGATTGTGCTTCCGACACCCTGTGAAAGCAGGGAGGCTGGGGGGTGGGAAGGAGGGCCCCAACAGGCGGTCCCAGGGGCACTGCAGTCCTCCAGGCTTCGGGAGGAGCAGCTTCCTGAGTCTCCGGATGGAAAAGCCTCTGCTTCGTGGGGCGCTGCACACTCTTGCCGGCCTCTCCTCTTGTCCTGCAGCTGATGGCAAGGAGGGCCCAGGACTGGGGGGTGGCAAAGCTGACCTCAGACAGGGAGAGTGGAGGTGGCCCTGGCTCAAGCCCAGGGCCCTGTTCTGTTGATTTGGGTTCATCTCCCATGGGAGACCGCCAAGACTCAACTGTGACACCTGCTTTTCTCCGTGTTCTTCTGTGTGCCTGGAACTAAGGCTTTCATTTGTTAACGTTCACTGCCGTCTCAGTCAGCATGAGCTGCTGTAACGAAATCTCCCACACCGGGCAGCTTCCACAACAGAAATTCCTGTCTCAATTCTGGAGGCCAAAGTCTGAGATTGAGGGCAGCAGGGCTGGTTCCTGAGGCCCCTCTCCTGGGCTGGCAGATGCCACCTCCTCCCTGTGTCCTCACGGGGTCATCCCTTGGTGTGTGTCTGGGTTCTCTTCTCCTCTTCTTACAAGGACACAGTCAGACTGGACTGAGGCCCACCCATATGACCCCGTTTTAACTTCATTACCTCTGTAAAGACCCGATCTTCAAATACAGCCAATTCTGGGTTTCTGGGGTGTAGGCTTTAATGTATCATCTTTTTGGGGGGATTCAGGCCATAACACTCATCTTCCATAACTTGGTATAAGTAACACTCAGGCGTGGGAGGTGGTGTGTGTGGGGGGGTGTGTTTATGTTACACTGTTTAGAAAACACTGTCCAGAGAGGGCTCTCGCTTTTCAGCCTAGAAAATAAACTCACAAGCCTGGGTCTTCTGCCCCCATGGAGGGCCAGGAACACCCGTAATTTCCACATTTTCTCTCTTTTGGGCTCTGTTCATCCATTTTCTTCTCAATAGCAGAATAAAAGAATTCCACACAAAATGTTTTCTGTAGCAACAAAGAATTGTTTTCCTTCTCTCAGACACTGGGCTCTTTCTACCTGCACCGGGCATCTCACCCCCAAGCCCTGATGCCATGGGCTGAATCCTGAGTTTCGAAGGGCACAGTTGCTGGGGGAGGAGGAGCATTAAGGTTATCCAGCTCTTTTTTCCATACCAAAGTGGTTTACATTTACTTAATATTAGCTATTACAGATGACAGGAGACAGGGAAAGGCTGGAAATAGAATTGCTGTGACTGTTTCTCAGCATGTTTGATTCTATCCCATCAATCACTGCATTTTATACCAGAACACAAAGGGCCATGTCGAGCCATTGGCACTAACCCAGCAAACCCCACTCTCAGCTGCCAGACTGTGGTCCTTTAAGGGTGTTAGGAGAGAAAGATAATCTTATAGAAGGGGGGTTTCCCCAAATTCCATCTCACGCTGAAAATCCCACCAGCACTCGCCACAGTGGAGAGGACAGTGGCTTTCCTGTGGAGGGTGTGTGAGTCTAGGCTGCTCCTTCCTCCATGTAGCTTTCTACTGCTCCCCCTGGCTCTGCCCACCTGCACCTGTCCCTGCTCCCTGGGTTTAGGAAGCCAAAAAAAAAAAAAAAAAAATGGCTAAAGGGATTAGAAAGCCTTCACCATCCTGGAAACATATTTATTTTCTTTTTTAAGAGGCTGGTTAATAACACGTAAGAACTAAATTTCTTCTTGCAAGTGTAGGTGGGTGGAGAGTGGTTATTTTTAAACGAATGACTAACTATCTTCATTGTTACTGTCTTATAAAAAAATCTAATATCGATCATATTAAACACTAAAAGGGGCAGCACTCTTAGTCTAACCCTGAAGCTGGCATCTTCTGGCCCCATGAGTGCCAAGGTTGTTGTCCCTCACGTTACATTCTGACTCCTGCATCTGAGAATCAAAGCCATGAACGTGTGCACCAGATCTGCCTCTTTTGGCCTCTGGCTGCCACAGGCCATAGCATTCCCTGAAATGTCACCTGTCCCACATATGGAAGGCAAGGCAAAAACAAATCAACAAAGAAAAGCCAGTGCCAAAATGCCCCGGCAGGCACACTGTCCACATGCACTTCTTGTACTTTCTGGACCACTTGTGGGCCCCGAACAACCCACTTACCATCTCCCTTCTGCCTTCATCCTTCTCCTGAAGCTTCAGATGTGCCGACACCTGCAGGGGACAAGGACAACAGTGTAGAAGCAGAACAGATGGCCACCAGCAGTGTGAGCCTCATGCCCACACTGCAGGCCACGGTACAGCTAGCCAAGATGCAGCTAGCCACGGTGCCACTAGCCACGGTGCAGCTACCCACAGTGCAGCTAGCCACAGTGCAGCTAGCCACAGTGCAGCTAGTCACAATGCCACTAGCCACAGTGCAGCTAGACACGGGCTGCTAGCCACAGTGCATAGCCAGGTGCAACTAGCCACAGTGCAGCTAGACACGGTGCGGTTAGCCACAGTGCAGGTAGCCACAGTGCAGCTACCCACAGTGCAGCTAGCCACAGTGCAGCTAGTCACAATGCCGCTAGCCACAGTGCAGCTAGACACGGTGCTGCTAGCCACAGTGCCACTAGCCACGGTGCAACTAGCCACAGTGCAGCTAGCTGATCACCATGGAAACCCAGGAGTTCTTGGCTTCCAATGCCCCCTGCTTTAATAATGGTAGGATCGCAGGAGAGCAGTCCATGTGCTATGCTTCCTGCTGTCTCAGTTGAATTCTCTGCTGTACCCAGGAGAGAAGTCAGATGTGGGCCATTCAGAGGTAAGACAGCCCCAGGCATCAGGGGCTTGGCAACCAGCCTGGGCAGAACCAGTGCTGCGAATTAGGAATTCCACAAACTGCCTGTTAAACTGCTGAGGCTTGAACTTATCCACAGGGAGAGTCTTTACAACACAGGAATTTACGAGGGCGACACACCAGGATGCCGCGTTTTGTTGTGTTTTTTGAGATCCCGTTTGCTAACACAGCACTGGGCTCCTGGCCCCGCTTGGGAAAACCTAGAGTAGATGGTCATTGTGCAGGACTGGCCTTGCTTCCACCCTCCTGCCTCCTGTGGTCATGGGCAAACATGCAGCCTCCGTTTCCTCACAGGCACAATAGTTAGGTGAAGCTCTGTCCACCCCATTAGCTAGCAAAGTTGCTGTGAGGATCAGAGGAGAGGGTGAGATGCAGCGTGGTGGAGGGGGCGGCGGGTGGCAAAGAGGTCTCAGGCCCCAGAGTTGGACCAGGTCAGGCCCACGGTCCTGGGCAGGGCCAGCTGCCTGCCATGTGCCACTGTCTGCCATTTCTCAGTCTGCCTGGTGGTGAGGGTGAAAAGCATAAAAATGCACAACTGTGTCTGATGTGGGATTGGGACTCCGCAACAGGTGGCCAACGTCTCCTCCGTGTGAGACAGGACCTTGAGTGATAACACGTACCATAGCCTCAAAGTATTTCTCCAGGGCCTCATGAAATTCTCAGAATCAAAATCAAACTGAATTTGATTCTGAAAATAGATCATTTCACAGCAGGTTCAGTGGCGAAGTTGGGAGAAGACAGCGGGAGTCCCTAGTCGCATGTGCGGAGAATACAGCCATTGAGCTGGGGTCCCAGCGAAGAGTCTCGAGCACATGGCCATGGGGTTCACTCAAGAACTCACTGAGAAGCCAAACTCGGGCTACCCAAGATGCAGGAGCTGCTCAGGAATCAATAGAGTGTGCATGGAGCTTGCACTTAAGGCCTACATGGAACAGTGAACATTAGGGTCAAGAAAAACTTCAAGGTTGCTTTGCAGCTGTTTGCCAACTCCTCAGAGATCCTCTGTGCCCCACCTGAACGTCCATTTGGAGGCCAGATCAACAGTCAGGGCTCCACGGGGCATACACCACCCAGGGAGGCTGGGCCCAGGGGAATGGCGTCCGCTTACCCACAGAACACACAAGACCAGGGAACGTGATTGGGAACAGTCCCACAGGTTCTCCTCTTCCTGTTTCCCCACAAAGAAGCTTAGGGAGCAGATCATGTGTCTGCAAATGTAACCTGCTTCTCTTTGCTGAGTTAAGAACCCCTTGGTATTGCCCTTCACATGACACGCTGGGCAGCTGCCACCCTCAGACACCATGGGGAGAAAGCTTTGCCCAACCCAAGTCAGGGTCTCTCCAGGTGGAAAACGAAGGCGAACCCCCATCTACTGACCAAAGTACAGAGCAGACCAAGCTGAGGATGTCCCCCTAGGGTAGCAGGAGAGACATGAAGGCTGAGGACTCTTTTTTTGCAGCGAACAAGGAGGAAGCAGAAATGTAAACAGTCCCCCACACAAAGCCAGCCACGATTGGCAACTGGAGCTGCACGCTGATTTTCAATCTCCTCTTAATGGGAGGATTCTTATGGCTGCCTCTGCTCACAATTAGGTCCATGCAGTATCAGTACAATGAGTTAGGCCTTAAAAAAAAAAATGGTCCCCGCCGGGAGCGGTGGCTCATACCTGTAATCCCAGCACTATGGGAGGCCGAGGTGGGCAGATCACGAGGTCAGGAGTTCAAGACCAGCCTGGCCAACGTAGTGAAACCCCATCTCTACTAAAAATACAAAAATTAGCCGGGCATCGTGGTGGACGCCTGTAGTCCCAGCTACGTGGGAGGCTGAGGCAGGAGAATCACTTGAACCTGGGAGGTGGAGATTGCAGTGAGCCGAGATCGTGCTACTGCATTCCAGCCTGGGTGACAGAGTGAGACTCTGTCTCAAAAAAAAAGGGCCCTGGAAGCCCAGAGGCATGGCACTTGGCTGGGTCATGGTCTGTCCAAGGAGCACAACCAGCTATTCCAGAAACCCAGGCAGAGGATATCCCCTGGACACTTCTGTGGCCCCAAGAGGGAAAAGTATTTTTAAACTTCCCCAGATAATGGACTTATCCACAGAAGACATAAGTGAAGACACTATGGGGAGGCTTACTAGGAGTGAAAAGAAACAGTGACCAAGTTGAACTGATTAGGCACCAACTGTATGCCAGAATTCTACTCCACCTTCCCTGTATTTTTCCTTTCAATATTTACACCAACCCCTTACGGTCTTGCAGATGAGGACACTGAGGCTGTGAGGGTAAAGCAGGTGTACGGCAAGGAAGCCGAGTTGGCAATTAAAGGTGCGCCTTTGGAGGCAGACAGCTCTGGCCACGTGTGGCCATCAGCAGCCGTGTGACCCTGGGCTCCTGGCTTGACTGGGGGAAGCTCCATTTCCCATCCACTTTCTTGGGATGACCTATCTGGTGTGTGTAGAGCTATGCGCTCGGGGCCTGGGACCCAGGAGATGCTTGGCCATTGCTGGTTTCATTTTCCCACCTGGGAGGCAGGTGAGTCAGAGGAATAGACCCTTGGGGTCCTGAGCAAGGCATCAGGTGAGTGGGTGCTTGGGCCAAAGACACAGAACTCAAGGATGGCTGACAGGAAGGAGAATCCCAAGCTCTGGACTGCAGGGGAAATAGGATGGTGGCTGCCCTGGATAGGATCACCCAAGCCAGCCGGGTTAATAACCTTCTGAGAAACTTGACCCCAACCCTGCCAAACAAAGTCCATTGAACTCACAGTCTTGAGGGGTTTTGGGACGACGCTACCTGTCCCAGTAGCAAGTCTGGTGTTAGAACTCCACTAGAGGGAGGGTGCTGATCCCATGCAGGCTGTGTGGCAGAGCCCTTGGGTCCCTCGCAGCTGGGCACTTGGCCAGTGCTGTGTCTAATGTGGGGACTGGGGGCAGGTGGCAGGGGCGGAGCGGGGCGGGGCGGAGCGGGGCGGGGCGGGGCGGAGCTCACCATCATGGCTTCCTGCACAGTGAGGTGTGGCAGCAGCATGTCATCCTGCATGATGTAGCAGGACACCTTCCGGAAGCAGCGCAGGTCCCGGGGCAGGCCATTGATGAGGACGGCCCCCTTCATGCCCGTCTCCCTGCAGAGCCAAGGACAGGAGAAGCCGTCAGCCGGGCTCCTGCTCCTCCTCCACCTCCCGGGGCAGGAGAGGGCAGCCAGAGAGCGGGGCTTGCCTCCCAGCATCTTCCCAGCTGAACCACTGGCCACAGGGACCCCGAGCGGCAGAAAGGGACCGGACCTCGCTAGCACTGCAGCAATCAGGAGGAAGAAATTCCACAGAGAAAGCGCCCGGTGGGAAGAGAAAGCTGCACACAGGCCTCTGTGGGATGGCATGTTTATACTAGGGTTAACGGCAGCACTTTCTTGACCTACCAAACAAAGATACGCAGGGATGGTCCTATACACAGCCATGAGGTCGGGATGTACAGGCCCTGGATTTGTGGGGGTTTGTACCATTGGCTTCTGAACAATTCTGTGTGTAGCTCAGGCTGCACCCAACTGACCAAAGGCCAGACCTCTGCAGACTTCAGGCCTGGGAAGGAGCACCAGCAGAGAGGGGCCTGGACTGGGTCAGCCGAGTGCATGGCCCTTCTTCACCAGGGAGAATTCTCTCTGCTGAGCAAGCTGAGCACCTCCCAGATGCTCCTGTGAGGCGGGCAGTGCCTCACCAGGCACACTCATTCACTAGCTGGTTCATCGGCTCACTGCAGACCTACTGTGCGCCTCTGCCACCTGCCGTCGTGGGAGCATCAGTGCAGCCTGGGAGCTGGTGCATGCCACAGGCAGGCTATACACTATGCTTCTGAGGATCCAGTCGTTCCAGCCCTACCTCCTAGATGTTATGGAGAATAAAACAGACGCAAATCTATGGAGACTAATGAAAGCGTGTCTAGCTTCCACCTTTACTCAGTTTGTTACTATGACTGTGGGTCTGCAGCTGGGTCCCCTTTCTCCTCCGGGCACAGGCTGGGGTCAACTTGCTTCCCCTGGATCCCCAGGTCTGAAGGCCCTGTCCTGAGTGTTCTCCACAGGTCCGGGATGCCAAGCACCCACACAGGCTGCGAAGAGCTGTGAGTGTATTGAGGAACTGAGAAACCGCCACACCTGCAGGAATACTCACTCCCCTCTGGCCCTGCGTCACTCTGAGAATTCAGCTTTAACCTTTAGATGTGACTGTCACAGGCAGGAATTTGCCATAAGTGAGATTTTTTCGAATCCCAATTTCCAGCATTAAGGTGTAATTCAGAAGCTCTAAGGAAAAGGGTGATATTTGCCATTTTTCCAGTAAATGAAATTGTTACTATTATTACTATTTGCCAAAGTTAGTAAATAAAACCAATCAGACATGAAAACAACTGACTTTAATAGAGCATTTTCTAAACACTTCTAAAGATTCTAATCTAAGTTTTCTAATCATTCCCAAATGGATGACATTGGACACAATGGTCGCCGACCTTCTTTGTTGTTGTTGTTGTTGTTTGTGTGTTTTTGAGATGGAGTCTCGCTCTTGTCACCCAGGCTGGAGGGCAGTGGCACGATCTCGGCTCACTGCAACCTCTGCCTCCTGGGTTCAAGTGATTCTCCTGCCTCAGCCTCCTAAATAGCTGGCACCTGCCACCACGCCCAGCTACTTTTTCTGTATTTTTAGTAGAGATGGGATTTCATCATGTTGGCCAGGCTGGTCTTGAACTCCTGACCTCAGGTGATCCACCCACTTCGGCCTCCCAGAGTGCTGCCATTACAGGTGCGAGCCACCACACCCAGCTCAAACTTCTAAACAACTAAGACCACCACAAGCCTCAGCCAAACAGTTCTCATCCTCTTCCGAAAATGCCTTGTCTCTCTTCAACTTGCGTTCACTCCTGTTCTCTCTAAGTTCTCTGACCACCCTGACCTTGACCTTCCTACCTCTTCCTGTCCCTTTGGCTGGGCTGAGCTCATCCAGGGTGCTGCTGTGGCCACTGTGCCCAGGGACCCCTCTCTGAGTGTGGGTCTCCACCCATCACGTGGCCCTTGGCGAGTGCAACCTCTCAAGGTCACTCTCTCCCCTGGACCCAGTTTCCTTCACAGATTCCAGAGCTTTCTGATCCTAAATCCACCTTGTGCTCCGCTGGAGCCTGTGTGTACAGAGCGTTCAGAGGTCACTGCCATAGACCACAGCCTGCTCCAGGTGACGGAGCTGACGGAAGGAGCTCCACTATCCCCATTGCTGGCCTGACACCCGGGCAGGGCTGCTCACCTGTATCCGGCCAGGATGTTCATTAGCGTGGACTTCCCGGCCCCGGAAGGGCCCATAATGGCCACCAGCTCACCACTATTGAACTTCCCGGAAATTCCTTTCAGAAGGGTCTTGTATCCTGCAAAAAGCAGATCATATTCATATTCGTTTCATTTTGTTTTATCTCTAATGCAGTAAATATGCAGATGTTCAAGTACACACGACTGAGGCCGAAGGCAACCTTTGACATGCACGGTAGAAAAGGCTGCATTCCAGGGAAGAACATGAACTTCGTGTCTTTTGAATTCCCTGGTCTATGTCTTCAGTTGCATTTCACGGGTTATAATAATGATGATAACCAGCACGTGTGTAATGCTTTAGCGCTTACAAAGCACTTTCCCACTCATCGTCTAGTCTGTAAGGAATCCACCATTCCTGTCTCAGAGTGAGGAAGCGATGTCCAGTGGGCCCAGGTGACTTGCCCAGGCCCTCGGCCAGTGTGAGCGGAAGCCAGCTCTGGGCTGCAGCACTACCGGCTGGCTCCTCCCCCGATATGCTATGCACGTGTCTGTATTAATTAATAATTCACTGACTGCATCTACAAATTATTTATGCTTTATATATTTATATAAGTATAAATTATGTATGTATGATTTATTTAGAAATAATCAACATATAATTAAATAATCAATATATTATTAATCCCTTAATTAATAATTAAGAAAGTTTGTCATTTTGCAGCCACACCAAACTGCTTTGGAATTTCTGCCAAGTCTCCATCTCAGAGCTTTATAAAAGGAGAAAAGCTACACATCCCAAGCAGAGCCACGTTAATTTTTTTCAGCTAGACTGTTTAAAAGTGCTGTAAATAATAAAACAAAAGCAACTGGAGGCACAGATAATGACTCCCAATCCAGGGGCACGTCTCAGTGTAGTACCAGATCAGAATCCACCGTTAAATGATCAAGAATCATGTGAATGCAACTTCAGCTCCCACGCATTTCAGGGCACCTAATGAGACGTGGGGTCCTTGACCCAATCCCATGTTTTCGACTTTCTCCCGGTCCCCAGCTGGGCACACAAGCCTGTATGTTTCCATGAGTCTGGCCCAGGGGAGTTTGCTTCCTGCTGTCTTCCTGTCTTTCGTAGATAGGACCCCGGAAAATGCCAACCTGTCACCAGGTGCTGCCTTAATTTGGATGTGGAGTCCCTGAGGCCTTGTTTAGGGGAGTCGGAGAGCTGCGGAAGCCAGTCAGGAAGCTTGGGACTGCCACTCATTACAGAGAGGGCGGTTGTCGCCCCAGGGAGGGCCAGGAGAGCCATCCCAGCGGGGGTAGGGGCACAGGAAGAAAGGGCGGGGGCTGGAGAGCAGCTCAGAACTGCACGTGAACCAGCTTGTACAACAGGACCGTGAATAACAATGCTTACAAACACACAGTACTTGAGGCCTAAACAGATGAGCAGGGCTGGAGGAGGACCAGGAACCCAAAGAACAGCCCTTATGCTGAGCTACGGGTACCCCTCAGTGGACAGGCAGACGGAAGAGCTGGGGACCACAGAGATCCTTCCTCCATAGGAGCAAGCTCCCTGCACCACGGAGTACCCAGGCCCCTGGGGACTCACATGATATCACCGAGAAAGCACTATATGCTGGGTACCTGCTAATTACTGCCTCTTGTCTTTTCAGGGTGGAAGTGAGGCTGCTCCCCAGCAAACCTCCCTTAGGCTGTGTCCTCTCAAAGTTACGAGCTGCCTGAAGACGCCCGGTCACTGAGCTCACCAGCAGCCATCGTCTGACCATGGCCATGCCTCAGGTTCTCAGAAGCCTTTCTCCCTCCGTCCAGGACAGGCAGGGCCCACGTCTCCTGCTGGGCACAGCCTCTGAGCTCTCACCTGTGACAGTGCCTGGGGCTGACCCGCAGGGCTGGAGTACTGGATGGTCACCCCGGCTGGAGGAAGCACACACAGGCTGCGATGACCCCCAGGACCCCAGGAACAGGACAGGGTGTGGAGGCGGGAGCATTCGGCCCTCGCATGGGAAAAGCAGGACAGGTGGTCTCAGGCTGGTCTTGCTATTGAGAACCACCAGACTGGAATTGCAAGAATATACACCAAACAGAGAGTGCACACAACTGGGGCTGCAGGCGTCCTCTCCACCTGGTCCTCATGGGGTCCAGCAGTGGACCCAAGGCCCAATTCGGGGCTGTACTTCTCTAATATTAGAAACCTGTTTTTCTTTCTTTCTTTTTTTTAAAAAGTCATGCATTTGGGATTGAAGAATCTTAAAAGTGGCTCTGGAAGCAAAGTCCAGTAAACATTAGTCTGCCCTGCTGTGGGACAGCCCGGGTGCAACAGCGACCCTGTGCAGGTCTAAAAGTGAGTCCCAAGCTGAGGGGCCCAAGAAACACCAGTTAGAGGCTTCCTGTCGTAATTGGGTTTCCTGAGTATCCAGCACACACATACCCCTCTCTATTTATGTAAGGAAATCATCCTCCCCGCAGAGCCCTGCATTTGGTTCCTCTTATAGAAATATAAAGCGAAGATGGGACCATCCTGCCCCGCCTGCCCTACTTACCCACCCTGAGCTCTGCTCAGCCCACTTCTTGGCATAATGGACATGCGCCTGCCTCCCTGTCCCTGTGGGCTCTGGTTCACGGGGTGTGCGGTCTTCCACTGTTTTTCTGGCTGGGATAAACGCCCAGGATGACAAGTGTGGAGACTGCCAGAGCCAGGCCCACTGAAGGCCCATCAGCCCCGTGCAGGATGCCCAGGTTCAGTATTTGAAACAGCCAGATGCTAGCCCAGACCAGAGTTTAGACACAACCCAGACCAGACCAGAGCCGCAGACCAGAACAGCCAGACCAGAACTTAGAACCCAGACCAGACTCAGACGGAACTCAAATCAGACCCAGAGAGAATCCAGAGAGAACCCAGACCAGACCCAGACAGAACCCAGACCAGACCAGATAGAACCCAGACCAGATAGAACCTAGACCAGACCCAGACAGAACCCAGACCAGACCCAGACAGAACCCAGACCAGACCCAGACTGAACCCAGACAGAACCCAGACCAGACCCAGACAGAACCCAGACAGAACCCAGACCAGACCCAGACAGAACCCAGACCAGACCCAGACAGAACCCAGACCAGACCCAGATAGAACCCAGACCAGACCCAGACAGAACCCAGACCAGACCCAGACAGAACCCAGACCAGACCCAGATAGAACCCAGACCAGACCCAGATAGAACCCAGACCAGACCAGATAGAACCCAGACCAGGTCTAGAGAGAACCCAGATTAGACCTAGACAGAACCCAGACAGAACCCAGGCCAGACTAGAGCCTCAGACCAGAAACTAAATGGAACTCAGATAAAAACCGCAGACCAGAACCCATGAGAGCGCTAGGCAGGGCAGGGCTGGCCTCTGTGAGCCTGGGTGGGAGGAGGGCTCCGCTCCCCATTTATTCCACTTTAATCAGTACCTGTTTCCTCCGCTTCCCTAGACTAACCCTAAAGTCTTTATCAATTGCTGGATTGTCTCTGAGCATTGCACGCTAAGAAGAAGTGATGCAGCTTAATCTCTTTTTTAAGGGAGATAAATTCATAGTTAATTAAGGCAAAAACAAGCCATAAGTTCAACCAGACTTCTCTGGGAAATGGAAAGAAATGGGAGGCGAGGGCCATCGAGAACCAGAGGAGAGAATGGGGTCTGAGCAGGGCCCCAGGCACCAGACACCTGCTCAGGAATTAATTCCCTAAGTGACACTGGCAGTCTACGTTTCTTCTTGGGACCCTAACATCAACGTCTTTGAAAACAGGGAACTGGACAAGATGGTTTCTAGTGTCTTAATTACCCTAGAAAGGAAGCAAATGCTCTATGAGCCTGTGAAAATCCTTGCTCCATAACACAAAATGTGGGAGCTTAGCAAGGGGCACAATTAGCAGTGCCCGGGGCTGTGGTCATCGCCCGAGGACAGAGATGGGAGGATGACAGAAGAGTGCTCCAGGTAACGTGGTGACGGACTGTCCTTGGAGCCGCAGACCTACATGATCAGAGAGGAGCAAATCCCTTGGGATATTCCAAAGACAACCCACAGAGTCTATCTCTGCCGCTTTTACGGTTTGTTCGCTAAGATGATGCATACTTGGGAGAGACGGGGACAGAGCACGCTGGTCCTTCGGAGCTACTCACTATAAAAGGAGCAGTGGAAGCCCCGTGATCCCAGACCCTCCTAATCAGACTCACCTTGGCTGAATTTCATATTGCAATTATTTTATTTTATTTTATTTTATTTACTATGTATTTATTTTAGTTTTTAGTTTTTTTGAGAAAGAGTCTCACTCTGTCACCCAGGCTGGACTGTAGTGGCGCGATCTCAGCTCACTGCAAACTCCACCTCCTGGGTTCAAGCGATTCTCCTGCCTCAGCCTCCCAAGTAGCTGGGACTACAGAGTCTCACTCTGTCACCCAGGCTGGAGTGTAGTGGCGCGATCTCAGCTCACTGCAAACTCCACCTCCTGGGTTCAAGCGATTCTCCTGCCTCAGCCTCCCAAGTAGCTGGGACCACAGGTGTCCGCCACCACGCCAGGCTAATTTTTTTTGTATTTTTAGTAGAGACAAGGTTTCACTGTGTTAGCCAGGATGGTCTCGATCTCCTGACCTTATGATCCGCCCACCTCGGCCTCCCAAAGTGCTAGGATTACAGACGTGAGCCACCGCACCCAAACTCATATTGCAATTCACAAGTCCACTGTCAAAGCAAAACCAAGAGCAAGCCCACTTACCCAGGCTGAAGAGAGAAGAACCCTGTCTAGGAAGGGGAGGCCTGCAGATGAATCTCTCAAGCCACGAGGGGCAAGCTATGGCAGCACGCTAAGGGGCTGCCTTGCTAAGGGGGTGGCCAGGGCTGGCAGGACACCACTGACTGAAGAGGTGGAGAAAAATGTCTCCAGACCATCCCAGCCTGTGGTCCTGAGCCAGCTCACAGTCAGGTGTAGTGGACCAGAGGTGCACATCTGGAAAGCCTGAGAAGGCAACAGTGGTCAGGCCGCCCTGCGGTGTGTTAGAGCTGACCTCTTTCCAGGGCTCATCCTCTCACAGCCCTGGAAGTTGGAAGTCCTCACTGGAAGTGTCC